AAAATGTCACATGCCAAATCTAGCTGAGGTGGCTCAACATATAGCGCTTTTAAAAACGGAAACTGAAATAACCAGAGAGCATCAGTTGCGGCAATCTCATACTATTAAGCTAGGCAGAAGTGAGTAGTCTTTGCCGATAGATCTTTTTTAACGCATTTATATATTACGAATATATTTGACGATTTTTTATTTATATCACGAATTATACTATAGCACATTTCTAATAGGTTTAACGAATTACATGTCATTTATTTGAATTAAAATTTATTTTAATGACTTAGTATTTACTAAAAAGATGTAATTTTTTTTAAAAAAAAAAAGTTTTTATATAGATTTGAATGATTGCTTTGAATTCTTAGAATTTTGTGCATTTGCAATGTGCCTAAGTAAGTAGCGAGCAAAGCAAACCATATAAGACTGCGTAGCAATTTTCGGGGGTTGGCGAGCGTTAGCGAGAAGTGGGCGCAGCCCACTAGTATAACAAAACTCTGTAACGTATTGGGAATTTGAACTGTAAAACACAAAAGTGACATTGTTGGAAGCTACTTAATATCACGTCAGCTGTAATATATAAATGAAAGATTTCAAATGAAAAAAAATTGTTTTTATTTAATTAGAAATAGACAAAACCAATGATCTCTATGTTATTTCTTTAAACCACTTAATGATTCTGCAAGCATTATTCACGCTCTTATGATGAATGGTTGAACTGACACTTTCATTAGCAGCCATATGTTCATCAGTACGTGCTTAAAATATCAAAAAGAGTAACTGGGTGTATGAAAGTTATGCTCATCCCATTACATTCTGAGTCATCAAGCTATGTGGAATATCGGTGATTTAGCATTGTTCACCGGTGTGCTTCATTTTAAAAATAAATGATTTTAGATTTGAAGAAAAGTTTTCAAAAAAAGGATTATATCTCAACGATTTTATGGTGATAAGAAATCTGAAACCCACCATACTTAGCATTAAATGTAGTCGTAGATGAAAATAAATAGAAAGTAGAATCATTGTCAAGATAAGTTTCGGTTTATTGAAATAAGATCAAAGACAAATTTTTGAAAAATGCGATTTTTTTAAATACGTCGTATCATTTTAATTCTTTCAAGTATAACTGTTATGGAGATTTCGTACTTTTAAGTTGCATTTCTCCTCCTCCTGTACACTGTAACGAATTACGGCTCAAATTACGGTAAAAAGTGCAGAAGTTAGGGTATCTACCATGTCAACCGTCATTTATCTCAAGGTACCTTCAGATAAAATCGAGTTAACATGTTTTATGTATGGGAATTTAACGAATGAAAATTTAATAATTGCATGAATGGGAATTTAATAATTGTAATAGTAGATACGCTACAAAAGTACTGACACATTGTGTATATCATCCGTAAAATTAATTTTAACGTAAAGTCCATTTTTGCCCTAAAATTTTGATCCGTATATTTTACAGTAATAATTAAACTACTATGATTCAGGGATTTTACTATAAATATTATTGTTATAATTGTTATGCGTTATAATTTTTAGTATAAGTAACGGTTTTATCATTTTTTTTTTGTTCCTTGAAATTTTACAGTAAAGAATACCGTCACACTGGGTGTCAGAACATTTTATCATAATTTTTTACAGTGTACATAAGAATTTAAGCAAATTGCACGCGCGCACTTGAAAGCGTTAATTCTAGAGAAATGCGCATGCACTCTTGAATAGAATATCTAACTTACGTAAATGAAAATAAAAGATTTGGCAAAAACATTTAAGTTAAAAACGATAACGTAGTAGAATATCATCTTAATTTCGATCAAGAAATCGAGACAAACATTTACATTGGATGTAGGTAGTTTTGAAGTTAAGCCCCTTCGAACTAAATTGCACAATTAAAATAAATGTATTCTATAATTTAAATAACGAAAAAAATATTTAGTTTCTTAAGGATCTAGAGCAATTAGGCAACAATTATTTTAGACAAAAATCTATGAAGCTTTTTTTTAATGAAATCATCGGATTGCTGCAAAAACACACGATTCATTCTAACATTTCGTAACTACGAATCATTTATTTTCATTTTGTGTTGGTGTTCTTCTTGATCTATCTATCCATATGGTTATATGTCCTATATCCTATGTCCATATGGTTATATTTATATTCAATCTGTCCTTAGCGTTAAACTAGCTACAGCTATTGCCACGTCTCCAAACGCATGGCAACTAAATACTTCGTGTGCTGTACACTTATTGGTTTTAATAGTAAGTGGCTATTTTGTTTTTATTGTAAGTACATAGGATACTTGAATACCAAATGAACTCCGGATGAGGATAATATCATGTAATTTTAAGACTCTAAATTATTTTTCGACAAAAAGTAGAAAAAAAATAATTTAAATCTGGTAACTTAGCCCTAAAATCACTTAGTCTAGAAATATCGGTCGCCATCACATAGAAAATCGTAGCTCGTCCCTAACATTTTGTAAAATTTAACATTGAGGCAAAAAAATTACACTATTTTCTATTCCAGGGGTTTCCAATTTTCTTTTCGGGTACGGAACCCTCCAAATAATCAACCTTCTCTCGGCGGAACTCCAACTTTAAAGAAGGTAATTGTCAACTTTATGTTATAACCTATAAAAGACTATATAAGTTTTAATAAAGAGGTATGAAGATTTTTCATCGTTTCATCATTAACAATCTTAAATTAGGTTCCATGTCAAACATTTAAATTTGCAGTCCTTAAGTCATATCTAGTTTAGTAACGAATTTCCTTCTGGTGTATATAGTTCTATTCCACGGAACCCTAGGGTGTCGTGGAACACTATCTGGGAACCACTGTCTATTCCATAACATGCTATCTCCAGAAAATCGGTCAAAATTATTCATTTTTGCTGACCTTTGATCATTGAAACATGCTTTTTATTGATTGAAAAATTTCAACTGAGTTTGCCTTGTACAAACTATTTTTAATACCTATCTATTTAGAAAAGATGAACCAAGTAATACCTTACAGAATATTAAACATTTTCACTTTACAAGAAAATTAACTTTTTGGTAAAGATTATTTGGGAAAAACAATTAAAAATGAGAAAATGTCAATATAGTCATTCAAGCTTTAAAACTTTCTTTTTCAAAAACTGCGACAAAGATACTAGTAAATCATAACATTTAAGAAAGAATCTAATTATTGGTTACCATAATTCATATTATTTAAATGCTTACTATATTTCCCTACATGGATGACCCTTTTTTGCAAGTTTGTAGTAATTCTTTAGTCAGATATGTTAACCAAGTTCTCTGAACCTAAAATGTAATGAAATTAATACTTGTATGGAATCATTGTTGTCCTAGTTTTTTTTTAAGGAACACCAGTATGTCATGATAATTGTGCAATGTATGAATGAACAGCAGTTGAGCAGTACTTAAAAGATATCTATGCTGTCTTGGAACAATGTAATAAGAAATAAGATGTTGGAAGGTATTACGTTGCTATGGTTATTTTCAGTGTTTGGTTAGAGAAAGCACGCGAATCTTTTGGTCCCCTATCATTGAACCCAAGAATCACTAAGAATATACATTTCTTTCATAAACTAAACTTTATACCTTGGTAAGCATATTGTTTTGAGTCATTCTAAATAGTGAGTTGATTAATGTGTATGTGCTTATTTTCAATTCCTCTTATTATTATTTTGATTATTTTTTCCACTATATTGAAGAATTTATAAATTGTAAACTAATCTATCACTGTTGTTTAAAGAAACAATGCGAAAATAAGTTTCTCGTGCTATTGAAATTGGGAACGTTAGAATGTTAAGGATGATAATAATGTTTATGGGAAAATCGTAACGGATCTATGCTCCCCATCTTTTTTTTTTTTTTTTAAACGTTGTATCTTAGTTATTGTAGCTTATTATGGAAAGAATGATAATATTTTTGTTTAAGGAGGGTCCACAGTATATCATTCAGTGACATGTTCACTCTTAACAAAACGTTCGTATTTTTAAAGATTCAGCAATTCAAATTTTGACAAAACATTAACATTCAAATATTCAATAAAGCGGCATTCTCACTCGTGTGTCATTTCAATGCATTTCGAGAGTTTACCGACATTTTTTTATAAAAGTTCTAAGATATTTCTATTGCATGATAGAACGGTACAAGAGTTAGTGAGCTGAATTATCAAGTAGGTTTCCTGCATTTGATTCCACTCAGCGGCTGAGTACTTATTATTCGCATTTAATGCTACATTTCCTAATCAACTCTGTTAGCCGGGATAGCCTGGTTGATAAGGCACTGGGCCCCATGTCCAAGAGTTCGTGGGTTCGATCTCCGCCGGCAAAAGTAGTAAATGGTGACTGGTGCACGTTAAATCTGTCAAGTCTCTAAGCAAGTCGATGTTCCCATAATAAATCAAGTCTGTAAGTCCATGTTCCCATAATAAATCAATACCTCTGGGGGTACTGATCCAGGAGTGTCCTTGTCCTTCAGATTTGTTCAAAATTACGAGGCTAAGGAGTTGAACATTAGTAGTCGTAAACCCAAAAATTAGGTCGGCTGTTCAACGACGGATATAAAAAAATAAAAAACAACTATGTTAATTTATATCTTGAATCAAGTCTAAAGGTATTGGCGAAATTCGTATCATCAAGCAAGTGAATATAGTATGTTTATTCGAACCGTTTCTCTAGAAACTGTTCTGCCAACAACAAAGAAAATTTCGTAAATTTTGAATATTCATTTTTTACAGTATTTTTCTTTTAAATCTTTTGCACTCATTTTAATGTGGGTCTCCGTACAATTGAATACCTCTAAGTGACGCAGTGTGTGTATTGGATGCTTTGCGTGTGCTTTCGGATAATATTATAAACGGAATTATCCCTAAATCAGCTTATGATATTATAAAACTCCCAACAAGTAGGGTCCCGCAGTGGACTGATCGTTAAGACACGGTTCCCAGCAGATCACCGAAGTCAAGCATCACTGACTACGGTCAGTGTGCGGGTGGGTGACCACTTGGATAGTCTGCGTAGGGACCTAGGGTGTGCGGTATTGGTCCTCGTTAAACTGTGCTACTGTAAAGGGCTCGACTTCGCGCGCAGGTCGTCGGGCTACCGAAGCGGGGGTGCCATCCCCTCCGCAGAGGATCAAAATTGTGATGGCATGTCTTCGGATCATCCGTCGGGATGTTTCCCAGACCGTCGCCAATAGCCCAATGTGCAGCTCTAGTGCGACGTAAATTAACAACAACAACAACCAACATGTAGGGAATTACATAATAATACAATCTGATCTGGAGAAAATTCCGTTTACACTTTCATCCCTAAGCATGCGGAAGCATTTGAGACGTCATGTATCTGTGTATTAATGATCTTCTTCATTTTTTTATCTTTCTTCTTCTTAAGTTACAAGTACCCAATTGGGTACTTACAATCAACTTGCAAGTACCTAATTGGGTACTTGCAAGTTGAAAAGAATACCTATGAAATTCCATGGTTGTGGCCTAATCACATGGTTGTGGTTTACGTTGCAGTGGTTAATTATCATGCTGAATCAGTTTTCGGATCAAATATAATTAGAAAGCTACAAGCGGAATCACAGGTGTGGGACGAATTTGATTAGCTGCTGTATCGTGGCGTAAGCGAAAGCTACAATTAACTCAGGTGATTCTTCTTGCAGATAACCAACTCATTTACTGCTATTCTTCAACATATAAACACCTATGATCGAACAGAGAGATTTCTTTCTGCACCATTCATCGAACTAAAACCAGTTTTTTTATTATAGATTCTAAATGTTTATGAAAGTTTCATTAATATTTACCAGTATTTAGCTTAAAAAGTTGACATTTAATATTAAAGTATCCTTGTGAGGGAAGGTTGCCATCTTTCAATTCAATGGGCTTTAAACAATATTTCAGTAGTGAAAACAAATGCTATTGTTAATACAAGCTTTAAAAAATTATTTTGTGATTTTATTTTATAACCGTCGTTGAACAGCCTATTCAATTTTTGGGTTTACTACTACTGATGTTCAATTCCGTAACTTTGTAATTTTGAACTCGAAACAGAAGACAAGGGAACTTTTGGATCAAGTATTGGGAGAAATTTGCCTTCGTGGAGGTGTATTTTTGATGGAACTAACCCACATTTGCGTTTCATGGAGGAGAAAACCACGAAAACCTTCCACGATTAGCCTGACAGCAAAGGGACTCTAACCGATAATCCGTCTACCACCGAGGATATTTTGCGTCCGCACTGTGGTCAGTGCGAGCCGGGTGCGGAATTCGTATTGACTAGCCATCGCTGGGATTCGAACCCGGTTCACCTCATTGGATGGCGAACCCTCTATCCTCTGAGTCATCACGGCTCTTTAAAAAAGTATTGTCTATTTCTTTTTTTAGGAAAATAAGTGGAATTTTATTTAAAGATTCTAAAGATTGTTTTAAGAAAAATAGCTTTAAAGATCCACGTGATGAATAACGTGGTTTATCTAAGACTTAAATGCTTAGAAAATAAATTTCCATTTGAAAGTTTGAACCAAGAATTTTGAGCCTTAATCGAATTTCGAGACAATTATGAAAAGCAAAGAAGATCGGGAGAAAAGATCCTAATAGACTTAAAAATGACAATCACAAAATAATTTTTATTCGTCTAAAAATAATGAATGCCCACTTATAATGTGAAGAATAAAATCAGACAATGATTTAAAACTAATAGATGACAGCGCACGTTTTCGATAGAAATAATGTTGCCACCAAGAAAAATTAATTATTACAGTAAGAAAGACAGCTCACAATTACAAGCTACAGCATTTTTTTAAGGAATTTACTTGATTTAATGTAAATGAAAATACATATAAAGCTAAAATAATATCTTAAAATGAAAGAGCTGAAAATATTAAAATTATTAGAAGACAATAATTCATTTTATTTATATAATATTAAGCACTAATAAATGTCGTCATAATAATAACTTTAATAAAATTATGGACGTGCAGTGGACAATAATTATAAAAAAACGAAGTGTGTTTTCTATTTTTGACTCATAGTTAGTTTATTCGTTTTTTGGAGTAATATGTTAAATTGAACCAAAACATTACAGGTTAGCTTAGGAATTAAACAGAAAAAAAGTAGTGAGGGGTTCATGCATGCAATAAAATTAATTTAAATAACAAAAATTATTATTCATGTCTTAATGTTTGAAAATCTTTGATTGCATCAAACACCGTTTTCCCTTTTTCTATACGAGGTAAAGTTTTGAGTAAAATTATTTATAATCATTAACTAAATGTTAACTAGTTACATACTATTAACCAAACTTGTAATAAACTAAATGTTATTTCTAATGATTTCGTTAGGGTAATTACACTGAAAAATATTATTTTTAATTATCTTTTACTAACGTTGTTCAATATCGACAAGTGAAATAGCTTATCGCATATTTATTTCTTTATATTTATTATAAATTTATCTACGAAAATGCAAAACTCTATGCTTGAAGAATGCCATCTAACATTAAATTTTAAATTTTAGACAATAGTGCACTAAAAAATGTACAGTATATACTGTATAACAAGGCCCCAAAATTTTACAAAAATCAGGAGTCCATGCTACACCAGTTTCTGTACTTCGTAGAGTGAAAGGAGTTCCTACACGATATTAAGAGGTATTCCATAACTTTTGTCACCTCAGTGTATACCAGTACCAAGTAATCCAAGTATGTGGTCATATTTTTAAGTGATGAAGCAATAGAAACACTTCTGGGTAAAAATATACTAGAAGGTGCCCCTTGGCGAAATTGGCGACTTGTGTTTGGCGCCATTCCTGCTTGCTCGGAACACCATTGTAACAGGAATGGCGGTCAAAACATAATGATATTTCAATCAAACATAGGAAAATTTCAACAAAACATCGGAGGCCGGGATAGCCTGGTCGGTAGGGCACTGGGCCCATATCCAAGAGGTCGTGAGTTCGATCCTCGCCGGCCAAAGACTCCCCGTGTAGTAAATGGTGACTGATGCACGTTAAATCTGTCGAGTCTCAAAGTCCTCCANAAGAGGTATTCCATAACTTTTGTCACCTCAGTGTATACCAGTATCAAGTAATCCAAGTATGTGGTCATATTTTTAAGTGATGAAGAAATAGAAACACTTCTGGGTAAAAATATACTTGAAGGTGCCCCTTGGCAAAATTGGCGACTTATGTTTAGCGCCATTCCTGTTTGCTCGGAACACCATTGTAACAAGAATGGCGGTGAAAACATAATGATATTTCAATAAAACATACGAAAATTTCAACAAAACATCGACTAAAACCCTATAAACTTGCAATGAGCCCAATATAAGCAAAATTAATAAAACCAATAAAATGCATTTTGAAACGAAACAAAAATTAATGGAGTAAGCGCAGAAAGAAAAGGAAAAATAAAACTCACTTCTTCATTAAGCGTGAATATCCTCAGATTTAGGTGCACAGAATTCTTTAATAGCAGTTAGATACTGTCTAAATTTATCATGAATAGAATCTGTGTACCGCCATAGCCACATAAATTCGTCGAAATACGAATCGAAAATGGAGTCTGTAGTACCGGAATGGCGGTGACATTTCTTTCTAAAGTCCCTTTTTATGACTACCCACATGCCTTCAATCTTATTGACCAGAAGCAAAAGTAACCTCACCAGCCGGTATCCAACTTAGAACTAACGGACCTCTAAAATTACATATATATACCATTGAACATTTAAAAATAACGCTAAAATCTAAACCAATCAGAATCACGATTAGGCTTCAACATCGTCCAGCTTGGCTATCAACAGCTACCACAACTTGGCGGGAATCAAGGGGCACCCTCAAATATAGTCTACCCCACTTCTGGACTCAAATGTTACTGAGCAAGCGCTAATGAATGTATTAACACTCTGGAAAGTGGACTTTTAAAAAAATTTCTTTCTTTTTTTTTTTTTTTTACTGTATTGGATACTTTTGATTTATTTTGCACAAATGAGGTAAATACTTTTAAGATTATTCCTTTCAGGTTTTTTTACTCCAGAACACACGTCGTGCAATAAATTATGTACAGTCATTTTCAAGAGAAACCCTCTCCTCATTTCACACCGGGTGATTGGCATTCTTACAACAAAAATCTAGATACTGTCACTAGGAACGTAGCGATTACTGGAAACAATGTGCGCCAAGAAGCTGCGCAATGCAGAAACTCGGTCAACAATACCATGGCGTGGAAACTTAGGGTAAATCTTTGGACTTTATTAAATTGATTTTTTATGACCTTCTAAATATTTCAGACAAAATATTTATTACATTATTTTTAGGCACTTTTATGAGGGAGTTGTTAAAGTAGCGATATCATTATAGAATGAATCAAATTGAGCACTAAACTCCTGTTATATATCTTGTTATATATCCTTATCTATCCTGTTTTGTAATCACAGTCTAGAATATAAATTTTGACAATTTTCGTCGAAGAGGAAGTAAATAATGAGCACATTAAGGTTCCAAAATTAATAAAGCAAAGAAGAAACGTTCTCAATACCTGATAAATCATTAGCCAAGCCAAATATGGTGAGGATGGGATAAAAAGGTTATAACAAGTTTGATTGTTTAGTTAAAACTGTAATGCGATTTCTAGTAATCCTTCTCCATCTTCTTTCAGTTTCATTCAACAACCAAACTGATTTTGATGCTTTAAATTACCCTCAAATTGTCATTGACATCAGTAATCATTGGTTAAAAATTATTGAGCAAGCCGTTTTCAGCTGACGAAAAGAAATTTTCAACAGTATCAATTAGTTTATTTTCGTATCTTACTTTCTTTTTGAATAGCATTAAATTTTCATATTATTTTTCTTTTCCTACTTTTTATTCGAATAATAATCTCAAAAGTGTTTATGAACATGAACATTTTTAGAATAACAGTTAATTAACATAAAGCTGAGATTCTATTTTACCGTACCTTAAAAACCTTTAAAATTGAGTACAACCTTAAAAATTCACTTTTACTAAATTCTCTGATGAATAGTAAATCACAAAGGTTTTGTAAAGGTATATTGTTCCTGTATCCATGATAAAAAAACATGATAAAAAAACAAAAACATATTTAGGACACAAATAACAAATTAGCTGACCGAATCAATGAAGTAGAACAGTGGTTTCATAATTTGGACCGGAGTTTAAAAGAAGTACAGGATGCTGTGGATCAACTAGCTGAAGCCAAACAAGAGGTTGAAAAGAGTATGGGTGAGAGTTTACCACTTTTGGAAACAACAAAAGAAGCCATTAGTTTGAGGGATCGTCGCAGAGACATTGATCTAGTTGAAGATGAAGTCTATTATGAGCTCAGAAAAGTAAGATTTCCATTATCTGTTTTCAATTACTTGTACTTATATTGTTAAACAAATCTAAACGTTCAGATTGGATTTGCAAAAAGAATTTCCGAAATCAAATAGTTTTCACGACAAAACTATTTGATTTCGGCCATGTTTCTAATAACAATTTAAACGGTAAGAAAAAAATGCATATAACTTCGTAAATATTCTTATGTTGAGTTGAGATTTGTACCAATATCCATTCCTCTTCACATCATTTAAAGAATAACACTTTGAAACGTGGTTTTTTAAAAATAATTTTTTTCAGATGAACAGAACCGAAAAAACAATTTTCTTTTTATCGCATATCTAAAAGGAAAAACGTTGAGCACATTACTTTCATAAAACGTGTAGGAGTTTTAGGTAGCATAAGTGAGGCGCCACACGTTTTATGTTTAGGTGTGGGGAAAAAATTATTTTTAAATAAAAATAAAATTATTTTTTGAAAAACAGTTGGTATCTGAAAATATTTTTCTTTTATTATTTTCCTCAGTTAAATTTTGTACCACTGAATTTATGTTGAAAAGTGGCCAAATTTTTTGGGATAAATACAGCACATTGAGCTTGAAAAAATTGAAATGTATGTTACTATCAGACACAAACCAAACTTAAATGAATCTGGAGATTTGCTTAAAAAAATTCTGAAGAAAATCAGAAGATATTTAACTCACTCTTAAACCTACTTTTTTTCACACTATCTGCAATTTTTTTTTTCTACAGAAAATCTTCAGAATGAATTCTCTAAATTTACAAGGAAATTCTTAAAACATTTTCTAAAGACTGTCATTTATCGTTAAAGAGTGAAAAGACTTGACTTTTTCGGGTCAGTCAGCTCAGTGGTGCTGTTATCTATGCGTGAAAGGAAGTTTCATATTCTAATAGTCCAGGGTCCCCAATTAAGGAGTGCAGGACACTGGAAACTCCTGTGTTAAAGGAATTGAGAAAATATTGCAGCGCCAACGCAGGGATTCGAAACCCTCATTCACCCAGCTTTGAAAGTGACAGATTAGTTCTCTCGGGTAAAATGTGTACACGGCAGCGTTGAACTATGTGGCTTCATAAGATGTTCACCACAGACTTATTCAGATTAAAAAATTTTGTAATTTAATCTTAAGATTTCTAATAACCTATGAGATTATTAGATATCTTGGTTTCATTAAGAAAATTATTAAGATTAAATTAAGAACGAATTAAATTAAGAAGAAATTAAATTATTAAATCAAATTAAGATGTAAAATCTTCAGAATGAACCCTCGAATTTTCTGTAAAATTAGGCTTAAAAAGCGGGTCAAATGCCTTCAGATTTTGACTTCTACAGAATATCTTCAGAATGAATTTTTAAAATTTTTTGATATAGGCTTAAAGCAATTACTTTGAGTATTTATTTTCCTTATAATTAGCACACATACAAATTTTCTCTTTTTTTTCCCTCGAGGAACTTGTGCGTACACATTTAGGATCAAAGATATATTGCATTGTACATTAAAATATCTATTTTTTATGGAAATTTTATGTTATGCTTTTATGTGTCCACGTAAGAAAAAATTTGCTTATTTTTCACTATCACAGAAAATAGTATCATTTTAATATCATCAGTATCATTATTATCTAATATAGTAAGTTTAATCTTTTCACTCATGTTAATTACATCTGTATTTTCGACCTGGGAAGTCAAATAAGAGAAAGCTAGCATATATGCCTATGAAAAACACATGTTTTTCCAAATGTTTAAATCCTGTTTAATCGGAAGAATATTTATAGAAGACAAGTTTCACTTTCTTTCGATAATTCAATGTGATTATTGCCTAAGAAAATTCCGCAGATATTTTAAGGGAAATTTAAAACTTTCAAGATTACTATGAAGCGTGTCCAAAAAGTTTACAGTTATTTTTAAGGAAAGTTAAGTCTTCAAAAATGACTATGAAATGTCTACAAAAAAAATGCAGATATTTTAAACAAAAAGTAAAATTTTCAAATTATCTAAGATTTCTGAAGAAGAAAGTTACTTTTTCTGAAGAAATTCTTATATTATTATTATTATTCTGAACATATTTTTAGTGGGGAAGTCCCACTCGAAATTTGAGTAATCTAACTTAGCGGAACAACTATAAAAATTTCGATTTAAAAATTTGCCCCTCAAAAGTAGATACAACATTGCGTTTGATAAAACGTAATTAAATATCGTACAAAATTCGAAAAATAGCACCCGAATTACCGTTTTTTACATTAAATTGGTATTATTTTTAAATGTACTTTCAGGAAAAAGATTTGATTCAGAATATAAACAACTCTCTGAGTGAAGTAGCAAAGCATGACTGGGACCACCTAATCGAATTGAAAGAACAACGAGATCAGTTGGAAGCAGATCTCAATGATAAAGAATTAGCCATGAAAATTGATCGCTTCCAGCTCTCTTTAACTCCTACATCAACAAATGTTATTAGCTTCAAACCATGGCCAGCCGATGCTTGCTCAGCTGGACAATGTCCTGTCAGTTTGGAAACTTGGTTACAAAATTGCCTTGACAAAAGAAGAAAAGCTGAAGACGCAGTAGCTAAAGCAACACGGGCAACTAACGATTCGTGGAACTTGGTTCGGAAGTCCAAAGAAGACATTCGTCAACAAAGAGAGAATACTCAATTCGCTTTAAGGAAACGTCGCCATGAAACTTTGCAGGTAAATGAATACTAACTCTAAGTTGTTGTTTTCCTTTAATTTTAATTATAGTTAAAGGTAGGTTTAAATTTCACCCCTTTTTTAGGATGTTTGAAACAAATACGTATTTTGCCTTAGACACTGGAGTTTTAAATAGTTTTAAATTCCAGCCAAAAAAATTTTTTTTTAAAAAATGAAAACATAGAAGCAATTTACTGTTACGCTTTTTTTTAATTACATTAACATAGATAAATAAACATTTGAGAAACAGACTATGTAACCGTAGCACTTAAATGTCTTCAAAGATTACAAAGATTAATTTTTCCATTTATATATTTATATTGTGATAAAAATTTATCAGTGTATGCTGTGAAGTTTAAAAAAGCTCTTTTACATTCAATCAACTTCTGTATCATAAAATTCTATCTTCTTTCAATCAGGCACGTGATAAATTAGCTGCCCAGAGAAAAGACTTAAAAGATGAAATCGACAGGTTAGACAAAGAAATGCTAACAATTGAGCAGGATATTAATACTTCCAGAGGAAATCTGAAACTAGTTCAAACGAGACTGGAGTATAGGAAAGCAAGGCCCGGAGTAGAATTGGTAAGGGACCAACCAACATTTGGCCTCGAAGGGGAACTCAGACACGTAGTAGAATCGAGAGAATATTTGGCTCAGAGATTAAGAGATGTGAAGTAAGTACAGTGTTCCTGATTAATAGTTTTATCCAATTGGGTGCTTGCAACTCGAGAAGTGAAGTGATTATGCTTAACCATGTGATTTATATCAGATTTAATTGGATACCTGTAAGCGACGTCACACGTGTGTGAACCTGATTAGTTCCTGAATACACAGGAGCTACGATTTACCTACGCTGACGTCACTTTAAGATATCCAATGGAATACCTGCAAGTGACGTAGGGTGGGTATCTGGATCCTGTGGTTGTTGAAACGCGGCATTCGTCTTTGTTAGCAACTGTTCCTTCTACTCCATTTCGAGTCAGCTAAACCCGTCAAGCATCAATTCTCTTAAATTATACATTTTATATTCTTTCACAAAGATTTCTATTCCTTCACTATAAATTTCTTACTTAACACAAGGACAGACATGAAGCCATGCAGCACATAAACTAATTATGCATCGAAGTTGCCAGGTGCACAAAACAAAAATACACTACCCTACAATAATCGAAAAGACACTTTCAGTTTTTGAAATTTTTTGAAATTTCCCAAAAAATGCTTAAAGGATTATTTTGTAACTTCAGATGCGAGATTTTTCATACTTAGCAAAGAAAAAAAGTATTTTTGAACACACTATGCCAAAAAATCAAGCAAAAAACTTTTATCAATTACTTCCTTTGTTATTTTTAATAACTGCATAAAGTTTCGTAAACCTAGAGTAAATATTTACGAATATATGGATATTTTTATTTTAAAAAAATTACTTTTTTCTCCTAACGTTTTTGCTATAACTTCATAAATATTCAATGGAATCTAACAAAATTTTTGGAGAAATTCAAGATTAATTACAAAATTGTTAATTTAAAATTTTAAAAATATTCGTTCAAATCTGCACAACATATGAGTTATTAAGCTAGTTTTTGGATACAATGCATGCACAGAAAAAATTTAAAAAAGTTTTTTCATAATTTTGCTGAAAAAATTTTGTTAATAAAAAAGTTTTTGCATATTTGGCAACTAATGATAAAAGTTTTATTTGAATATCTTAAAAATTTAAAAAGTTTACAGTAGTTTTTGTACATTTCAAAAGAAAGCTCAAAATGGTAAGAGGAGAAATTAAAAATGAGACCGCCATTGTGGGGGACCCACACACGCCCCCATAAAATTATGTTTTCTTTCTCTATTCCATCAAAGTTTAGTTTTCGGACGATTAGGGAGGAAAACAGAGGGACTAAGAAGATATTCAAGGGGCAGTGCCAGGGCCAAAGGAAAAGAGGAAGGCCGGTCAAAAGATGGCTTGACGAGGTGGAAAAAGACCTTCAGACTCTAAAAGTCCAAAACTGGAAACAAAGAGCTAGAGACAGGCGACTTTGGAGGAAAATTGTTAGTAAGGCCATGATCCAACATGGACTGTAATGCCAGGGAGTTAGCTAGTTAGTTAGAAAAAATTAATTTTTTATAAAAATGCCCATATTTTCATAAATATTTACTCTAAGTTAAGGAAATTTTATGCATTTATTAAAAATAACACAACAACGACACAAGTTTTTGTCTTGATTTTCTGGCATAGTGTTCAAAAATACTTGTTTTATTTTGTAATTTATTGTAGGTCTCTCAAACCTCTGAAAGCTTTACATTTTATATCTAAGTATGAGAAATCACAAGAAGTAAACAGCTCTGAACTTACAAAATAATCCTTTAAGTATTTCTTGAGAAAAAAAAATTTTAAAATGTTAAAAACTGTATATCATGGTTACAATAAGTCCCGCAGTGGACTGATCGTTAAGACACGGTTCCCAGCAGATCACCGAAGTCAAGCATCATTGGCTGCTGTCAGTGTGCTGGTGGGTGACCACTAGGATCAGTCTGCGTGGGGACTGAGGGTGTGCGGTATTAGTCCTCGTTAAACTATTCTACCGTAAAGTGCTCGACTTCGCGTGCAGGTCGTCGGGCTACCGAAGCGGGGGTGCCATCCCCTCTGCAGAGGATCAAAATTGTGATGGCATGTCTTCGGATCATCCTCAGGGATGTTTCCCAGACCGTCGCAAATAGTCCATTGCGCAGCTCTAGTGCGACGTAAATGAACTATAACTACAACAACATGGTTACAATAAAATACATAAACAAATAATAAATCTGTTACGTAAAAGAGAAGGAATTATATTTCAATAAATTCGATGTGCGATACAGCACTGTGTTTAATTAACTTTACGTTAATTAACATTCTAACTTATGTGGAGAAACTTAGCTCAACTTTAACACGCCATTTTGCCTATAAATGATCAGCTGGCGCTGGCGTCATAGGTCACATGTGTGGGTATCTGTGGTCTTCTTCTTGAAGTGCAAGTAACCGAGTACAGAAGTTTAATTATTGAAAGTGTAATTTTTATAAATGGTAGGTATGTACTTTATTTACGTCGCACTAGAGCTTCACAGTGAGCTAATTGGTGACAGTCTGGGAAACATCCCTGAGGGTGATCAGACGACATGCCATCACAATTTCGATCTTCTGCAGAGGGGATAGCTCCCCTGCTTTCGTAGCCCGACGACCATCGTGCGAAGATGAGCACTTTACGGTAGAACTGTCTAACGAGTACCAATTCCGAGCAAGCTTGGTCCCTACGCAGGCTGATCTAAGTGGTCACCGACCCACTTAATGACCACAGCCAGTGGTGCTTGACTTCGGTTTTCTATTGGGAACCGTTTCTTTACGATCAGTCCTCTATGGGACTTTTATAAATGGATTTCATATAATGTTAATAATGCTAACAATATAAATACTATATAAAACTTTTAATGAAGGAAGAAAAAAGGTTTTGGCTACAATTTTGTTTAATAAAAATTGTAAATGCTTCAAAATCTTTATTCGTATTCCCTGAACATGTAATAAAATACATCGAAGAGCCATTACATTATGACCACCCTGCTAATAACATGTAGGACCACCTTTAACCCTCAAAACTGCTAGCACCCGCCGTGGAATTGATTCCACAAAGTACTGATAAGTAGTCTGAGGTATCTGGTACCAAGCGCTCACCAACTGGTCCTGCAATTCCCTCACATTGCGAGGGGGTAGCGTGGGAGCACGAATTTGGTTTTCCAATTAGAGCCACAAATGCTCTATTGAATTAAGGTCAGGTGAATTTGGGAGCCAAGACATGACTTGAAAGTCACTGGAATGTTCCTCGAACCAATTCATGACGATTTGACCCTTATGACATGGTGCATTATCCTGTTGGCAAACACCATCTCCCGCAGGAAAAACTGTTGCCATGAATGGGTGAACCTGGTCAGCAGCTATGTTCAAGTAGCTTACAGACGTCAGGGATTGTTCTATGATGATTATGGGTCCTAATGTGCCCCATGAAAACATTGCTCCTGGGCGAGAAACCATGAAAACCTGGGCGAGCCCATTGTTATAGATGGAGGGTGGTCATAATGTAATGGCTCTTCGGTGTATTTTAGTGATAAGTTAAGCCAGAATGACATCACGCATCTCAGCAAATTTTCTATGTAATTATCACAGTAACTTTTAAAACTTTGTCAGAAAACAGACGTCTGACTTTGTAGGTATATTTTATAGATTGATTTATTTTTTATTTACTAACAATCAAAATTTCACTATTCGATGAATGGATATGATGACTGTTAAAGCCAATCACACCAAAAATGTTTAGATTCTTAGTAGACTAATGAATAATGCTTTAAAACAATAAATCGTGTTTTTAAAAGATTTTTTTCCCCTCTATTTTCTAATAGAAACATGCTCAACAGAACGCAGCATCATTTGCATGAAATCGAAGATGACTTGCAGCGGAAAGAACGATCACTAGCAATAGAAATGACAACACTGGATTTACATGAGAGACCTGCTAAATCGCCTTATCAGATGGACATTGCATGGATGGCTCCGCATAATACAACCAGTTCCAGCTACTTGGGTGATTTGGTAAAGCGAGGTACAAATCAGCGAATCATGGATAGTTGCCGTTGCATGCCCGGTGATATAAAACTCGAACGATGTGTAATGTCCGAACCAACAGATGTAGAATGCTGTCTCGTTGATTAAATAGTCCTATTTGAAATTATTAATAATATTTCCAAGATGATTAAAGCATTTCTAGTTGGTTTTCATGACTGAGACTTTTGCATTGAATAATAAACGTTATCTTTATGTAATTACTATGATTCATAGAATATTGAAACAAATTTGGTGTCTCATATGAATTTTGCAATTATAAATAAGAAACTGCAAATATCTTTTTTTTCCCCACAATGAAATTGAAATTAATAAATACACTGTTTTTCATGCTTGTCTGAAAATTTCTTAACAAGTTGATGGACCTTGTATTAAATTAGTAATAGTAGTAAAATTTTATTTACGTCGTACTTGAGCATTATAATGAGCTATTGGATATGCCATCACAATTTTGAACCTTTGTAGAAGGGGTGTCCTCCCCATTTTGGTAGCCCGATGACCAGCGCCAAAATCGAACACTTTGTGGTAAAAGAATATAAGGAGGACAAAAAAATGTATTCTACTTTAGCTTCTATAGTCTTAAACCCTGATTGCATGAGTGTAGAAATTGAATTAGAATAGAACACTTGTTCTGTTTCTTATCTCCCATCTTTTATTATCTCGTTGAAGCTTGTTCCTCTTCCTCTAATAATTTAATGATTTTTTAAAATTTTCATTATATTGTAATTTTGAACAAAACGCCACTCTAAAAAGAAATCACTTTCTCCCCAATCTGAAAATAATCCATTACCCTTGAAAAGTTGACATATCAAGTATTTCAGTTTTCTAAACAATTTCAACATAAAAGTTTCAGATTTTCCTTAATCCTTACATTAAGTGTTTTTCCTAGCCAGTTATTTATATATTTCATTAAATAAATTATAATATTTTAGTAAAAATAATTATTAGCATCAATAAATTATATTGTTTTAACAGCGTTTACATCAATTACAATCAAATATATATAATAGTCGGGTATTTTACCACCAAAGAAACTGCTCCTGCACTGACAGCATGACAATGATTAGGTACTGTTCATATTATTCTGTACTGTTATACTGTACTGTTATTGATTGAATTCATATTGGGTAAATTACTTTGATTTAAATTTTCTTCTAATATATAAAGCAACAAATTTTCTGAAAAATTATTTGGAACCCCAAACATTATCACCCAGCCACATGCCTGTATAAAGTAAATAAGTTTTACTGAAATTAATAGATCAATTAACTTTCAACAGTCAACACAGAGCAGAAAAGCAAGCAATAATATAGCTTACGTAGAAAACCTATATAAACCTATAGAAAAATAAGAATGAAAAATTTTAGTTTTAAGTTTGCTATTTGTCTTCACATCGCAAGATAGTTCAATAGATAGATATCCTTCCTGTGTATGTATGACAGTTAGGTCCACACAAATATCTTTTAACAGGTAAGAGCAATATATCTCGGATTAACCCTATATCTTGGCAAGTAATTTACTTTGAATATTCCTTTCCTTTTCCCCTCCTGGAACATTCTCTAATTATTCCTCCTGATAACATCCAATCATCTTACACATACAGAAACCTCTCTCCCTTCAGTTAAACAATACACACCATATAAATATTTATATACCATGAGATGTACCTTTAAATTCTTTCAATAAACAGGTACAAAAGGTTTAAAATGTCTTGAACAACTTTAAATAGTAGGACAACAAAATAATTAAATTACTCCTATGAAGATGATCATTCAGACACATTTCTCAGCAATGCTGATGCTCAGTCAGCATTCCTAACAATTACACTCCTTGAAGGTCTTCTCATTAAAATCAATGTTTCACATGCATGTCGGTAAACGTATCTACCACACTCTTAAAACCACATAATATCTGGGTTCCCTGTAAACATTTTGCAATGGTATATGGAAAATTAAATATTCTCTTTGAATTATGATGTGCTCACATAAATCTGCGAACTTATATTTTTTAAGGAGGCCGTAAAAAGTCACCAAACTATTATTGATACAAAGGATGTGTAATTGACTATGGCAACATACATGACTGGTATTGTTGTAATAGGTACCTAATAAAGGTACTATTGAAAGGTTTAAGATTTATCATTCTATTAATTCTCACCTTGCTATACTTCATCATAAGTGGTACAATACCTTCAGTATTCCAACTATACTTCACTGTATGATAAATACATAATTTAATCATGTATAAATGAGAAGAAAAAAAATTATCTCTTTAATTAATATCTGTTCTTCCATACTGAGAAGTAAAAGAATTGAAAATGAAAAAAATGAACATTAATTTGAAATAAAAATATATTCACATTGGGGCAAAAAATTTCACATGTCATATAGTTACAGTGGCAACAAACATTCAGAAAAAAATACCCTGACTTTTCCTGATTTTATCGAATTTCTCTTTTCTTGCTTGCCAGCAGTGACATAAATTTTATTATTTAATATTTAGATATGCCTTAATATATAAATATGTGTGTGTGAGTATAATATATATGTTACTGGCAAAGTATGAAATCATCCGGCATTGTATAGAGCGACTAGGCATTGTATAGAATGCCTAAAATTAGCCGGCTAAATATGAAATGATTTATATTTCACACATTTCCTAGGCATTCTGTAGATTGCCAAATGAAAAACCAGCAAAGTATAAAATACATCTCCGATTCGTTTCAAATATCACTTGGCAAGGCTCGTGACTTTTGACTAATAACAAAAATTATTTTTTTACTGTGCTACATGGAAATGGAGGAATTTAATGAAATTTACACGGAAAAATTTAATGAAATGTAATTCAAAATGTCATTCAAGCCTGCCATGTTGCAACAAGTAGGTTAATTTAATATTTTGTTTCCCTTTATAAGAAAGGCTTAAATTTTGTTTTGCATAACTTCTTAATTTTCTTTCCACATTTTGAATAAATGTTTTTCAATGGCACTCTCAGTATTTTTTCAGAATAACATTTTTATTTTTGAGAAATGCATGTTACTGTGAATGACCGAAATCGGTAGTTTTACATTTATTCAATATTTTAATACTTACTGACAATAGATTAGAACAAACATCAGTGTAGGGTATACCAGGCAAATGTATACCAGGCAGTGGCACTTGACCTTACAAAAAACATCAGTGTAAGGTATACCGGGCAATGGCACTTAACTAGAATTCGTATGACTAGACCGTAAATGTCCGAAAAATATATACTAGGTCTAGTTAAGCGCCAGTGCCCGGTATACATTTGCCCGGGATACCTTACACTGTTTTTTTCAAGGTCAAGTGCCATTGCCCGGTATACCATACACTGATGTTTTTTTTAAGGTTAAGTGCCACTACCCGGTATACATTTGCCCGGTATACCCTACGCTGATGTTTTTTAAAAGTCAAGGGTCACTGCCCGGTATACATTTGCCCGATACTTCAAACACTGATGTTTCTTCTAATCTATTGTCAGTAAGTATTAAAATATCAAATAAATGTAATTATATCAACGAATAAATTAATATCAAATCGGATGTAATAAATATTTCGGACATTCACCAAACCGACTATGTGATTGTCAACATTCACCGGTGAAAGTCAACAACCACCAATTTCGCTCATTCACAATAACATGCACATCATTTTCATAATAACCTCATCAGGACGTTTATTTCATACTTTGCCTAAATAGCATCCGACATTGTATAGAATGCCTAGACATTCTATACAATACCTAGGCAAAGTATGTAATACTTCTCACATTTCATACTTTGCCTAAAAACGTCAGGCATTCTATACTCATTCTATACAATGCCGGCGTTTCATACTTTGCCGGTAACATATATATATAAATAATTTTGTAGCGTATCTACCACTACAAAATTACAATTACAATTCACTAGTATATAAGGCATGTTAACTCGACTCTATGTCGGGGTACCTTTTCATAGATGATGGTTGACATGGTCGATTACTCCTCATTACCACATTGGTGACCCTGACGTGATGTGAACACGCCTACCTTGGAAGTAACGCCCACTTCGATATGAATACGCCCACATCGACAGTAATGCCTACTTCGATGGATGATCCACATTGAACAGTTGACTTGCTACTTGTGACTGCGACATTATCCACCTCCTCGCACTGTTGCTACTCAGTCTCGTCTCGATCACGCACAACGTCGGCTTTCATACTTGTGATTACTCGACTGCTAACGGCAACAGAGGAGCGATAACGACCGTGAAGTTAATACACCTCTCACATTCAGCACTCAAAATATACGGTGATCTTAATACAGCTCTCCCGGCTTCTCACAAAACAGCAATGAATCAACTAGTGGTATTCGTTCATCGAATTCTATCACAGATATAATTCTAGTGGGGGAGTACTGTAGCGTATCTACCACTACAAAATTACAACTACAANTCAGGCATTCTATACAATGCCTAGTCATTCTATACAATGCCGGCGTTTCATACTTTGCCAGTAACATATATATATAAATAATTTCAATTCTTATGATAACTTCAAACTTTAATATTGATATATTTTGCTTTGGCTACATTAATACAATATTAGAAAACATTTTTTTGAGAATATAATTGTGTAAGCAGACAGCGAGATTATATTTTATTCTTATTTTGTTTCCGGGCTTTTTTATTTTTCTCTTCCAAATTTTATTAAATTTTTAAAAACAATCTATTTAGTAATGATTTTTCTTCTTCTCTTTAAAAATATTTTTTTCTTGTTTTCTTTTAACTTTTACGTATATATATATACATAAATTATAATTAATGTATAGATATATACATAATAGGAAGAAAAAAAACAGTGGATTTTTATGTACTTCCAACTCAAATTAATTCACTTTCCTTGATGAGTTAGTGAACATTTTAAATAAATTCCTAATATATTTTTTAAAATTATTCTGACTTTTCTTCATTTTTCCCGATTACCCTGATTTGAGGTTATCCTGATATTATAAACTTTTTCATTGATACACTTATTCTCTGAAATACACGAGAAGCATATTTCTTCAACTACTTGTTATAACATCAATGGCTGATACATAAAATTTATTAGAATCAACAAAAAAATATAAATAAGTGATCAATAAATATTTTAAATAAACTCTGTGTTCCAAACAATCCCATCCAAATAAGGTGTTCACATTATTAAGGAAAGGTATTCATTAATGTCTCTTAATATCATTGAGAATTTTTCAGTCTAACACTTATATCCTTAAAATACATGGGAGGTAAGAGTCCTTCAGCGTTTCCACTACATAATATAACGTTATTATCTGATATATAAAATTTAAACTCGTCTTCTATTGCTTTTATTGCATCAACTGCAATGATAACATCACAACTACCACGCATTCCGCTTATTATTTGTCCTTCATCAGGTAAACATCCAGTGAAGTGAATGTGATTTCGATTCATTTTACTTAAGCCCTTCTCTTTTATTTTCTCAAGTTTCGTAAGATAACTTCCATGGTATACACAGGATGGGATAGTATCTTTCGTTAGCAACGTTAATAATTTGTCATCATTTACCGGAATTGAATGTCCTTGATTAGCTCGGATTTGTAGAGATTTATCATCTCCTTCTTTATGGCGTAAAGTAAAACGCTTTTTGTCATTATTGTTGACAACTCTTACGATGTCGTCAAAATTATATCTTTTAAATTGTTCGAGTTTTAAGATATTTTGGATGTCAACATAACCGCCTTCATCAAGATTTAAACCATTTTTAGTTGCACCATGTCTTAAAAGCCATGACAAGGATTTCGAAAGCTGAACATCACTTGAAGGTTTTTTCGATTGAATCATTCTTATAGGATAATTAAAATTTCATTAAAACCATGAGTATTTAATTTTCTGCTTGGAATCGATGAGACGTAGAGAACACCAACGTCAATGTTTATAAACAATGATGCTCGCTTCATTTCACTTTACGTTGCATTTCGACAAAAAAAAAAAATTTATTTCAAGAAAAAAGTATTGGCGATCGAAATGGTCTGCAGGTGGCGTAGAGCAGAACTCTTTTCCTATGGCAACACTTCACANGCTTTTTTAATAAATAGAGGCATTTGATTGGTCGATTACATCATCGTTTTCATCGTTATCACTTAATCGTTTTGTCAGGTTTACTAGAATGGCGTTTTTAGCATTTTTGCTTGGCAGAATTTTAATAACGCGCATGCTCAGTTTGATAATTTATTTAAACCAATCGAAGTACTTCGTAGACAATGAATATAGATGTTTGTATCCTCTCCTTTGCTTGCGTATACTCAAACAAAGACATAAAGATGGAAAGATCAATCACTGTACCAAACAGATGTCAGGGTGAACGAAACATTGGACANTCTTAATTTATAACTCTCTTCGAGTGTTGCGATCGCGAATAAATTAAAAATAAAAATTCCTAGTTTAAGGGAATTCTCATTTTAAAAAAATAATTAAAACATGATGAAAGGTGGACATAGCGTTACTGCCTCCGCTTTTAATTAAATAGATACATCTTAATAGCTGATTATATCATCTTTGGAATCGTTATCGCTTCATCATTGCTTATGTTTACTAGATTTGGCTATTTATGCCTTTTTTTTTTAGCATTTTTTAATAATTTTTGGTTTTCATAAAGTCCTGTAGTATTTCCTTCGCATTTGACATATTGGTTAGGACGATTTTAACATTCTAGCGTCATAAGGAATCAAGTTTCAACTTCTATCTAGCTTATTGTAGAAAAGGAATCTGTTTTCAATATATAGGCGCATCTGAATCCATGTGATTCTTCTTCTTCTTTTACTATTCATTACATTTTAAAGTAAAATGATTCTTTAACAAATATTTCTTTAAAATTATTTTATTTATTACATTATAATACTTTTAAAAATATCCATTGATGGAAATGTCTCTTGAAAAATTCTTCTTGTAGAATTCCTTGATTTAAATTTAGCAGAATTATTTTGTTCTTGCTAACATGTTTTTGTTTTGTTTTTTTGTGTGTAGTTTTTAAATTACATATTAGCAATTAAATAAGTGAGGAAAACCTTAAAAGTAACATTTTTGATGCACATTAGTTATTTAAACTCCTATATCATGGGACTTAAATCAATAAATCACTAACACAGACGGTTGGAAAAAATATACTACAAAAAATGAAATGCGCAAATGTTCCAAAGTATAAATAATAACATAAAAACGCGACTCTTTTTTTGCGTATAAATGTTTTCCAGTTTACTTTTTTATCTTATAAAATATAACTATTTATTGAATAAAAGGTAACAATGATAAAGGTACAATTTACAAACTGTGCTAAAGTGACAGACACGACGAAAAAACATAGCTATAACTTTATACGTAACTCAAGTCGATTCTCATTGATTCAATTTTCAATATATTAAAAACTGAATCGTTAAAGTTAATGAATTGGATGGATTTTTACTCCCTTTTTATTCTAAAAATAGCTCGATCTAGATACAATCATCAATAAAAAAAAATTGCTAAATAGTCCCAGATTCTGGCTTTGCACCCGACCTTCACGATTTGTTATGCGACTAGTTTTATTTCTGGACGATGAACAGAATTTTACATTATGGTTAGAAACTTTTGTGTTAAAAAGTCCAATATTCTGTAGGGATAAAATTTAAACCGAATCATACAAAATTGCAACTCCATCTGTAATTTACTTCTGTATCTGTAATTTACTTTTGTTTACTTTTAATAAAAGTTCTTCAAATTGTTTCACAAACAATAATTATTTAGTAATCGTGTCAAAAGTTAATTCCTAATTTTATTAAAATAAACAATTCCTAATTTTATTTAAATAACTAATTTTATAAAATTTAGAAAGAGAAATTAGTTTCCAAACTTATTTAAAAACATATAACACTACTTACACTTATTACTTAGCAGTAGTAATGATTACAAATAAGATATACTCGATTTTATAAAGTTATTTGAATTAGAAAATGTAATCACTGTAATCACTGCTGTTCAGTAAAGGTAAATAGGTAGGATTGAAATTAATTTTTGATAAACATACATACGTTTATAGCGACCATTCTTTTCATTCAATAACAGATGATTAAAAAAATAACATTTCACCTACTGACTTTAGATTTTTCAAAAATACTTTTGGTATCTAACAGCATGACTTCTACATTTTTTTTCTCTTCATTGTTTATTGAATTTGAAATACATATTTTCTTTTTACCAAACATTACGAGGCATATCAAAAAATGTTACTTGAAACTTTATTCAAATTTTTCCAAAATTATTTCTAAGCAAAATAAATTATTCCCGCATATTTTTACTAATATTAAAATGAACAATTGTATAATTATTTCTTATGTACATTTTATATTGATAGACATTACATATCTTAACTACGTTGTGTCCCGCAGTGGACTGATCGTTAGGACACGGTTCCCAGCAGATCACCGAAGTCAAGCATCACTGGCAGAGCCGGATTATACCTTACGTAGGCCCTAGGCACAGAGCCGGATTATACCTTTCGTGGGCCCTAGGCATAGCCGTTTTTGGGCCCTTCTTCCCCTCTTTTCAAAATATATGCTCAAATTTTCTTGCATATTTTTTTTACATTTTTATTAATATGGATTTTAATTTACAAATTTGTTTATCGAACTTTATCTGCAATACCGACATACTACCGATATTGCAGTTGATATCGATAATACCATTATGATTAGTTCGATCGATAACAATGTTAAAGATAATCTTGTGAATACTTTTCCTAACGGTCACATTGCATTAAGTATATATTTGTCGATTCTTGGTGGATCAAATGCAGAAGGAGAAAGATCTTTCTCCAGATTAAAATTGATAAAAATTATTTTCGTTCAACAATGATCGTTTGGCATCGCTCGCACTTATGCCTATTGAATACGACATTTTGCGTAGTTTTGGAATTCTACAGCTAATACAAGATTTCGTTGAATCATAAGATTATATAAGATTAAGAATCGTTAGATCATAAGATTCTGCAAAATAATTTATTACCGAAAAATATTATATTTTTATATATATCTTCATAATTTTGTGCAAAATACACTTGTTGTTTTTAAAGCTAAATTATTTTTGTCAAAAAATTTTTTTCTCCCAAGTTTTTCGTAGGCCCCTGAATTTCGTAGGCCCTAGGCACGTGCCTAGTGTGCCTATAGGTTAATCCGGCCCTGATCACTGGCTACGGTCAGTGTGCGGGTGGGTGACTACTTGGATCAGTCTGCGTAGGGACCGAGGGTGTGCGGCATTGGTCCTCGTTAAACTGTTCTACCGTAAAGTGCTCGACTTCACGAGCAGGTCATCGGGCTACCGAAGCAGGGGTGCCATATCCTTCCTCAGAGGATCAAAATTGTGATGGCATGTCTTCGGATCATCCTCCGGGATGTTTCCCAGACAGTCGCCAATAGCCCATTGTGCAGCTCTAGTGTGACGTAAATGAACAACAACAATAACAACGTAGTTGTTGTTCATTTGCGTTGTTGTTGTTCATTTACTCTGCAGAGAGGATGGCACCCCCGCTTCGTCTCTTAACTACGAATTAACGTTTTTTTTAATTAAGGGAAATCAAACATTCCCGCTTGCATGCGTGAAATTTGTCTCCAGTGAGAATGGCTCCTTAGATATGTGTTTCATTAGGCCAATCAGGTAGGCACTTTCTTCAAAATGTGGATGGTTTTTCTAAAGAACCGTTTACGCTGTATGCAATTTGCGCCCTTCGGATCGCTATCCAGAGAAAGGGAAATCCTGATTGGTGAGAGTTTGAGTGTGAATATGTTTCATCAATAAAGGTTCTCATTCGCCCTTGGTGGCGATCGAATGTGTGCCATGAGNCTATTTTATGACATATCGCTAAAAATTATATCACAGGTGTTGCGATTGCGAAACAGCGTTTTTATGTTTCTTACTACATTTATCTTGCATTTCAATTGATTTTAAAAAATCGTAATCAGTTTGTTTTAAAATTTTATAATTCCTAATAAGTTTTAAAACTTTATTTTACCTAATTAAAGACGATGGGTGTAATTAAAAAATCCCACATCAGTAATCCATTTTCTGATTCTATTGAAGATGTATTGGAAAAGTTAGTATTTATTATTTTTATCTTTAATAGCCAAGTTAATAAGTGATATTTCAATTGTTATTCAGATTATGCATTTGAAATAACTTTCACCTTTAATTTTTTTATCTAATGTTTCGCGTTTTGAATATTGTTTGTAATATAATGAAAATGTGTCGATTTATCTTAAATCTCATAAGGCAAATTTTGTTTATTTAGAATACAATAAAAAGTATATGAATGATTTAAATATAATAGTTTCGTTCACAGTTTCTTAATTTATAACTCTCTATTTTTACCACCACTTTAAATAATATTTCATGGAAGTACAATGTTGAGTTAATTGTATTTGTTTTTCTTTTCTTAATGTTTTTTGTTACAAGTTCGTAAAATTTATGAAATTCCAGTACACAAAGTTTTTTTTTTTTGGAAATTCAATCCTGGAATTTTTTATTTTATGCTTTAAAATTGTAACTTATTTTAAAAAATTAAAGTCATCTGAAATGTGTTGTGTAAAAAATATGTAAATGCGATCTTATGCAAATTAAAGTGAAAAACAAAATTTTCTTTAGGCTAAAATCCTGTTATCTATTCTACATATTTGGTTCAAAATCTTGAAAATTTATAAATAAGTGAACATTTCTTGAATAAATCACAGTTTTTTTAATAATCAATCTTCCAAAACCTGTAGGTAAACCAAAAGAAATGGAGATTGTTTAAAAAAAGTAAACTTATAATCAGTAAGAAGTATAATTATAATCAGCACCTCCAATAATCAATAAGACCCCAATCAGTATTTGGCAACTAGTTTTGCACATGTACGGATTTCTAGTATTAAATTAATGTATGTAATTTTTTTAAAAAATATATAAGCTTTGAATTTGGAATTTATAAAAATGTACCGTCGCCTCCCAAAATATTTTGGTATTTATAGAAATTTTCGGTCCTCAGCCAAAAATTAGCATTAACTGAGAAGTGTAGCACACAAGAAACTAGAAAAAAGTAATAAATTAGTGAACCCTTTATAGATATTTTTTTAAAATTAATTCTAATTACAATAACCTAGAAAAAGCACTACTGATATTAAATTTGAAGATAATATACATTTAAAATATTTTCATTTTAAGAACTGATGAATAATTTAATGAAGCTAATAAGCTTCTGATTAAATCTTATATCTGAATTTTCTAAATCTGCTTCTTATAAAAAGGATAACAGATATAATTTTGTTTGCATGGTTTAATTTAAATGAATTTTTAAAAACTTAAATAGACGTCCCCTTCATCCCAAAAAATAACTGGATTTAGACTTAAAACAAAATGCTGAAAATTTTTTTTACAATAAATAATAATATATACATTTATATATAGACTCCGTGTGGTAAGATTTTTGTTGTGGAATAGTTATGTATAAAAGTTTTTGTTAATTTTAGTTCAGTGCAAAAGAATATATATATGTATATATTTAAGATTTTGTTTTTTTCAACTCATTTCAGTAAGCTTGTATTTTTTTTCTTTTCTTTTTGACATATTTATAGCATTCGCATCTATATGGGTACTTTCACCACATGAACCAGCCCAGTCTGATTGCAGTTGGAATACCCTATAAACTTTAGTTTTGAAAAATTTAAAGCTGTTTTGGGAAGAGGAAAGAGAGAATGGGGCTTAAGTAAAATACACAATTATTGTAGTTTTTTAAATTTCACAAAAAAATTGAGAATTTGTTTCTCCCGGTTTAAATTTTTTTTTCTCCATTAATATTTCTTATCTTGTTTTTAACATCGCTAAATTGAAATAGCTGATGGTTCATGAAAATTTTTTTATTAATACAAAATAATAGTAGAGAGCTCTTTAGAATTTTCCAATTTATTGAGATCTTGCATCCCCTCTGATTTATATATCAATCTGATTTATTAACTGCAAAAATGTAGTGTTCTAAATTATTTTTTAGAACATTGCAAAAAGTAAAGAAAATAGAAAGCTTTGTGTAACTGAGAGCCATTGTAAGGCTAAGACATTATTGTAGGTTACTTTAGGGGTATAAAGAATTTCTTGAGGATCATAAACAAACTATGAAATTAGTAATAAGTACATTATAAATTGATTTTTTTTTTCATTTTGTACCGAAGAATTATATAAGGTTTGAACAGTGCCAGGATCTTTGCATCAATTTGAAACTTTTGTATTCTGCAGCTTTCTTAAACTTTACCAAAAAAGCTGATTTATTCTTTAGCTTGGGTAATTGAACATGTATTTTAAGTCAGAAATTTATAATTTGGAAACATTTAAGCTTGTAAATTCTTGTATACTTTTCTCTTATTTTTAACTTATTTATGCTTTGCACTGAAAAATTTTACCAAAAAATTATAAGTAAATATTTGTATCCTTTTCCAGCATTGGTGATGAGGAACAGCAAGAACATTCAGAACCCGAGATTCGTAGACCACGGAAAATAAAGCATAGAGCTCCCCGTCCTCATCCAGTCGGAGGCATCCTTGTTTCCAATGGCAAAAGTGGCAAGAAAAAGAAAAGAGTTGAAAACTGTAATTATAGTTACCATCTTTATCATTTGCGTGAATGAGAAATCTTAAATTTTTTTTCAAATTTTTTAAAAAACTTATTAGCTTTTTTGCTGATATCAGATGATATTTAAATGAATTTTATTATTTATCTTTTATAAAGATTGTTGTTATATTTTTTTATTTGTTACTTTCTAGCTACTTTTTTGCTGTCATTGGCTGATCCAGATGAAATTCAGGAACTGTCCATTCACGATTTCATCAAGCCATCTATGTCTGTCTTCACTGAATTTTTCATGAGGAAGGATGACATTGAAGTAAATGAACTTTTTTTTTCACACTTAATCAGTAAAGTATTTTTATTGATGCATCACTGAAAAAGTTATCAACCAGTGCTTTGGTAATATTACTACATGACAAAAGAAGATACAATTAAAAGTAATTCACTTATTTATAGTTTAAGTTACCAATTTTTTCATTTCATTAGTAATTTTCTCTTATAACCTCCATAAATTCATATGAGCCTATAATTAATAATAAATAATACTTCAAAATAAATCAAGGATTTTTTTTGTTATGAATTTTTAAAATTTTCATGCAAAATAACTTAAGGTTTTTGGTATTTCTTAACAATGAAACAATAGCCAATATAATATGGTTTTGTGTTAAATTTAATGCTGTGAAATAAAATCATAAAACATTTTTAGAATAAGACCCTAACCCTTAAATAACTTTAGTTTTTAGTGTTTTTTTTTTTTTAATGAAACTATTGCAAATAGCACGTCCTTTTGTATTAAATTCACAGAAGCCCAGTTTTTGAAGGGGACAAAATAAAAATACACAGTCATAATAGCTCTTTAAATTCCACACATTTAACAGAAAAAAAAAATATTCTTTTATCTGCGTAATGAAAATGTGTACAAACTTCTGTAGTATATCTAAGATTGGGTAAAGAGATTTTGAGCAAACTGTTTCTGTTCTGTAAATGGGTCAACTCTAATAACAGATAAAATAAATCATGATTGGTAAATTAGAAAGAAAAAGCTAACTTCGTTTCAAAAATTCTTATGTGTATCATTAAATCCAATAAACTTTTGGTCTTTTCAAATATTATACACATCATATAGATTTTTAATAGTTTTAAATTATAAGTGTATATTAAACATATTGTTATTTAAAATATTTTTCTACCATAGAAATGTTTTTACTGTCTATTTTTACCTTATAACAATACAATTTTTATTTTAATTAAATGATTTTCAATATTTTTTTAAACACCACTTGTTATTCTTTTTATTCTTATGAAATAATTAAAAGGTATTGTATTTTTTGGAGAAGTAATTAAAATGTTTCTTCAATCTCTTTTTCCTGATCTACTTTAACAGGAAAGTTTCTTTAGATAAGATTTCATGATGACTTGATTTTTTATAATTTTCTGTATTTACTTATAGAATTATATATATATTTTTTACATTAAAATGACTATGCTTCAATTTTTTCTGTTTTAATTTTAGATTTGGAATGAATTTATTAACTGCACACAGGATAATGAAAAGTGGTTTATAAAAAATGTTACTATAGAAGTTGAAGAATCTAATGAGAGTGCAACAAATTATGATGGTCGTTGTGGTGAGAATATGTGCATTTAATTTTAATTAATTTTTGGAGTGCTCTGCATAAAATTGTTTTCAATATAGTCTCAAAGTTTAATTCTTTCTAAAAATCATAACTTTCCTAAAATGTTTTTTTTTTTATTTTATTTATTTATTTCCCAGAAAGAATTACTCTTTTTAACAAGTTATGCTTATAGTTTTGAAAAAACACTTAGAAAACTTTTTTATTCATTATGCAGTTGAAAATCTTTAAAAGGCAAAACGTTGCATTTTATAGAATTTTGCATTTTTTTTTTTTTTTTNTTTTTTTAACATCTTTTTGCATATCTTTAAACTTACATTTTAACAACATTAGTCTGGAGCAGATCAATCTTAAAATGTTTTTAAAATAATTTTTTGATACAAATAATGAAAAACACAAAAATATGTTCTTTAGTATTTCTTATTTAAAGAAACAAATTGAAATTTTCTAAAGCATTAGAACCGATAAGCAAATTTATAATTGATTTGTTTAGCTTTTGAAATTTTTACCTGTCAACAAATAATGTAAGAACTTAACAGTTCTTGCTCAGTAACAGAACTTTCTTAACTACAATTTTCATTGTTTACACCTTCAAAGTTTATGGAGAATTGAAGTGTATCTTAAATTACGTTATATAGACCTTCTACTGTCAATAAAAATTGCATTTATAAACCATTATTTAAGGGGATTTCTTAATTATTTATATATCAATAGATCATCCTGCATATTCTGCTTCCATCTGCTTTCGAAAAATTGATGGAGATCTTAGATTGATGCTCAAAAAAAAGCATGTGCCTATGGTAAGTATATCATTTGATGACTGGAAAAACTTTCGTTTCTTAATTAGGCTTTAAATTCTTTGCTATAAAAGTAATACCTTGAATCATTTAATGAAGTAAAGATGTTTTTGAATCATCTTATATCAACAAAATATGAATCTGTGATCGTTCCTCAACTAGTCCACCATTATTATTTAAACTTATTTGGGAGTGTGATTACAGTGATATATAATAAAATACTAAACTCTCAGTGATGACCAGGTTTTGATCCACTTGAGACAGTTTTACTATTTATTTTATGAATATTTGTTGAAAAAAACACTAGTACTGAAAATTTAAATACTAGTATTTTTCTTGCTAAATGTGTAAAAGTATAATCGTGACTATTATTCTGGTAGAAAATTCATCATAAATGTCAGTTTACAATGAAACCTGCTTATTGTAGTGCAATAAGTTTAAGATCTAATGTATATTTTAAACGGATGTTTGTATACATAGACTGGATAGAAACTTTACTTACACAACAATATTCTCTTTAATGCTTCGTGTCAGGCATTAAGTTAAATGATAAAATTTTGTGTCTACATTCTTAAGATAGTATATGAATTTCAACTTAATTTAAAATAACGCTTTATTAGACCTAAAACCTAATGAAAAAGAAAGATTTAACGCTTAATTCAAATTTTTACTTAGGGCTAAGTTTTTTAGTATAGATTTTTTTTAATAAATAGAATACACATAAAGTTTGGGGAATTGAAACAAATCACTGAATTTAAATTTAATGAATTTCATATTTAAATTTTTTAATTAAACTCACTTTTTAATTTGCTTTAATATCATGAAAAATGTAAGATAATTAATAAGTAAAGTCAATTATTAGAGATTTAAAATAATTTTAACTTCTATGAACAAAAAAAAATGTTTTTAATGTTCAAAAATTTTAAATAAGTTTATTTCATATTTTCTGAAGCTTATTTCATATTTTCTTAGTTACAAGAATTATTTTGACTTTAGAGTTGATTTTTAATTCGATACATTAGTTATACTTTATGTGCATGTTTTTTAAACAAGTTAAAGTAATATTAGGATTACTTTGTGCAAATTAAAACACACACAATTGAAAATTTATGTGAGAAAAATGCTAAGTACTTTCTTTGAAACCATTTTCATAAATAAAATACATATCAAACAATTTAAATTACAAGGAAAATAACATACTTTAATACAATATAATCTGTATACAGCAATTTCTATTTATGCCATATTGCTCTTAAAAATTATGAAATTTTATTTGTCTTAAATTAAAAACAATAGTATTTATTTTCATTCAAAATTACTTAAAAAAAATTTTTGAAATTTAATTTATAATTGTTAATGTTGTAGGGAACATTAATGCATTTAGAGAGAGAGTTGGTGACATTTTTTGTGAACCGTCCAAATTCCATATATCATTGCCAGATTCCCAATAGCTTTGAGAGGCTTATGATTCATGCTTTGAGTCAATACATGGATTTGTCATCTTTAAGTAAGCTTGTTTTATATAGTTTAATACTTGCTATTTTTTATGTGTAAGGTGTATGAATAAATTTTAATTATGTTCTTTGGAACACTTTTTGTTCAAGGAAAATGAAAAACACATACTTGCTTGCTAGAAACAAAAGTTTACATTCAAACTTTACTTACAAGCTTGCTAAAAGGAATTTTCATTTTTAAATGGATAAATAGTGAAAATATTTATAAATTGATTTGACTTTTATTTTGACCTTTTCTGATTTATATCACCTATTTTACAAGATTTTACCACCTAAATTAGATGAAAATAATTAAAAAGAATACATAATTCTCAATCTTTGCATATTTTTGTGATCCCAAACTATAAAGTGTTTTATTAACTTCAAAAATATTAAAAAGTTAAATCAAACATTTTTCTTTTCTAAGAAACTGCAACTTTTCACATATCATATGCATTTTGCACCATTTTCATACAAAGGACAGAAGACCCTGGCAAAAGATAGGCAACACTTAATGTAACATTCATGAACATTTGCCACCCAATTCCTTCAATTCTTCCTTTTTTAGCCATTGGATACTAAAAATATTTTCACGTCGTACACAACATTTTACAGCATTAAACTTATTTTTCTTTAAAATCAATATTTTGTACAATGAAAACTCTTTATGGAAAGCCTGCATTTAATGTACCACACACTAATAATTTTTTCAACACACTTTGCATAGTGTTTTATAGTCATTATCCATATCCATAGCTACAAACACAGAAGTCCTAGCCTCCCAGAATATTTTAAGTGATAGCTAAATAATAATTAAAGGCAAACTATATTTGTTTCATTTTACTCGCATTTAAAAACTGCTCATCCCAATTCATATATATGTTTAAATTGTGTGATTGTAGTTGTATACAAATTCATTCCAAATTAAATTTATTAAATCAGTAATAAAATGTAAAATCACAAAAATTGCTACCACTCTAAATATTCAAATAAATCGGAACAAGTTACAACTATGCATATCCTTGAAATGATTCATTCCATTAAAGATCAACTCATTATTTTGTTTTGGCATATATTCTGTTTGATGGAAAAGATTCAAGCCTTCTTTTTTAATGTGTATAAATAATATTAAAATTTCTGTAACAATTTATATTTGAAATAAAAATATACTATTTAATTATTATTGGCAAGTTTATCATAATCTAAAATTTCCTAACGTTGAAGATCCTCTTTCATAAGCCTTTTTGGACACATGAATATTCTTCTGAACTTTGGGGGAACATTTCATTGCTGGCCATATTTCATAATTCAGCTGTTGTTAGCTTTCAAAACCACCTATTTTTCATTCAAAAATATTGAAATTGATCAATAAATTAAATAATACCATTATAATCAAACTAAACCTTAATGCAAGTAGCAGTGTGTAAAATAAATTTTAATATATTATTTTGAAAAAATACTGAACAAAGAATATCCTGAATCCCCAATGAAACCCTAAACTACAAGGATTATCATGATTAATAAAAAAATAATCAAACTAACCAGTTAAAAATTTCGAAAGAATAATCTGAATTTTAAAATGCGGAAAATAATCACTTCATACTTACCAGTGCAAAATATTGCTGTGTAGAACAGCAGGCAATTATGAAATTGGTTAGTAAACTTTATTTCAATAAGTTAATAACTGCTTTAATGACATGTAATTTATGCAGAGCTATTTTCAATTTGGCAGTTTTCAATTCAAAATAAAATTATGAATAGTCCATATTAAAAATAAAAATTCTGTAAGTTTTTCAAGGTTTTATTGGGTTTTTCAAACTTGAGTTTTTCATCATTTCTTTTAATCTTTATACTCTTGCTGCATTAATAAATACCATTAACTTTATAATTAACCAAGCCATTAATAAATACAATTATTAATACATTTCATTGTCAATGTCATTTACATTGATAAATTAGCAATACTTTTAATGACAGTAATAGGGTCCAATTACCTTTGTTGATCATGATCCCTCATCTGAAATTTTAAAGTATTTTGTATATAATTTCTTTGTTCAGTTCAAGGCATTTTTTTTTTATTTAAATTTTTTTTTCAAACCCCTGTAATGTTTTAGTGAAATGTTTGATTTTGGAACAATATTATGGTTTCAGATCTAAAGTACATTTTATTTCACAAAAATGTATTTCTTGATTGGAAGCACTATCTGATTTTTTATAAAAGCCATGATTTATTTTTTCCATTTCATTACTTTTTAACTAGAAGAATATTTTAGGCACCACATGTAAGCTAAAAACATAGGGGTGAAATTCAAGTGAACTTTGCAGGGTCTCTTATGACCTAGAAACTTCAGTTTTTACATAATTATAATTTTAATCATCATTAATTGATAGGTTACAACAGAAGTGGGGAGCGTTGGACAAGAGTGAGAAACAAGCATCTGGAATTTTACCTTCCACCCATTTTATTGTCAACTTATCTTGAGAAGAGGCATAATCCCAGAAATTAAGTTCTCACTTTCCACTTGCCTCAGCTTCGTCCATTATTTCATAACCAGCACAATTTGCTATTTTGTACATACATATATTTATATAAATTTTTAAATTATGTTTTTGTTGTAATATATTGTATATTTTATGTTATTTTAAATATTAATGATCAGTGCATTTTAAATTTGTCTGTCACAAAGCTTTTACTGTTTGTAACAGCCACCACTTTAAAAGTTACGGCTCAAAAGGTTAGTTTTTAATCCTCTCTAAATCCAGTTGTATGCTTTCATATACTGCATTACATGTGTTAAGTTTAAAATTATGTCGTATACAAATCTTCTAAGATGCTCTTTTTAAATGCCATTCACTCACTGTTTTGCTGTAACTCATTTGCATAGTAGAAAAACATAAGTGTTTGAATATTATGTTAGAATAATTTTTTAGAATTCATAAATTCAATGTGTCTTATTGAATGTTTATAACCATTTCTTTTATTTGATATGCTTTAAAATTGTTACAAGTAACAACGAAATTATTCTACTTTAAAACTGCCATAAATAAATATACCCAAGTGCGGCATGCATTGTGTTTGCTTCAATAAATTCTCAAACAGAAAATAAAATGTATTCATTATTACATAATAGAACACACCATATTTGAAAATCATTTAAATAAGTTAATTCAATGTAACATCTGTATTGAGGTTTCAAATAATAATTGAGGATGTCGTTGGAACAGTTCATTTATTGCTGTACAACAATTTCTGGCCCAAAATGTGTCTTAGCATATTAAATTTTATTCTAAGTGCTGTTTGAAGATTGGTTCAATTATTACTTTAACTTTTAAATATTTTTTACACAATAAGGCATAACTTTATAAACTTTTTTTTTTTTGGGTGAAAGAAATGTTTACACAACTTGTAAATTCTGTAAGCAAATTTAACATGTTTCTAATAGAGATTGAAACTGTTGGATTCTATTATCATTAGTTGGATTCTATAACTGTTGGATTCTATATAAAAGATAATAAAAAAAAGATGGAGGATTTCCAACTTGGGAAAATTTATAATAAAGGAAATCAGAAAGGAGTAATAATAATAGTAGAAAAAATATTTTCAAGTACATAAAAAGTTAATTTTAATAGAGTTAATTTAAGTTTCTGGTTTTTTTTTATATTGATACAGTTTAGATTTTTCATGTAGCTGATTTATATAAGGTACAATTTAACTCACTTTTGTAAAATGTCCTGATTATTAAATTAATAATTGGGTTCAAATGCTTTTAAATTTAATGTTTTTTATTCAATGAATCTCCAGCCTACACGATTTATTTTATGCATTTGCTGAAAATAGCTGTTTTCTTAAATCACCATTTTAAAATTTTTGATTGTGGAATTTATGTTTTCAAAAGTGATTCCCAGAAAATTCCGATACAATAAATCTATCTATAGTTCAGATGCAAGAAACACTTTTGCACATTAGTGAACAATCCCTTAATTTGCCATATCAATTGTTTGTGATTTCAAAATTGTTAAAAAATTTAAATCGACTATATAAGGTGGGGATAAAAGTTTTGTCACTACAAAGATCTCTGATATTTATGACACTTGAAAATAAATTAATATTATTTTTTTACTTTTTTGGAAGTTAAAATATTTTTTAATAGGCAGCAGCTGCTGGAGAAAATCAATAAATAAATAACTAAAATAATATCAGCTTTTTGCATTACCTAATTTTCTGAAGAAAAAAAAAGGCAACTTAACAAAAACATAATTTAATCACTGACAAAAAATAATAATAAGGAAGAAAACTATAACAGTAACGCATGAAAATCATTAAAAATGAACTGAAAATTCTGAAGTTAGGAGAAAACACATTAAAGACGGATAAGAAAAGATGCCATTTTCAATTCTTAACTCTTACTAGAGTTCCAACTGCTTTAATTTTTAAAAACCAAAACTCTCAACTCCACACTAACCTTATTGTTATCCACATTTACGTAAACAGAACCCTTCATTTTATTTTTTTCCTGGATATATCAGCAGATGGGCAGACAAATAAGGTAGCAAAATAGCTTCCTATCGACATTTAAAAATTAACAAATTTAGCTTAATTTTAAAAATTCCTTTTAGAAAAAGTAAAATCTAAAAAAAAATTTTTTTCAATTTATTAAAAAATTTTATTTTCTGAAAAGTTTAAATTAGAAAGTCCAGCTGTTACTAAGAAGAAAAAAAGAATATTGATAATTTAAATGTTGCATTCTATTTTATGAAATAAAAAAATTTACTTCCAAAAATTCGTGTTACTTAAGCTTTTCAATTAGCCAAATTAGTTAAAATTTAACTATGTTTTACTAACAATAAAAAACTAACCACCTTTATTTTAAATATATACAAAAATTTTCTCACCATATACAAATATTATTTAAAAGTACAGAACTCATTTTGAATATCATGAGACAGGAGAAAAAAATATTGTAATACTTTTTTTGTTCAGACTTAGATTTAGAATTATACTAAAATCAAATTTGTATCAAAAGATAAAGCAAACAAAATGGAATATAAAAATTCTATAATTATTAAAAAACTCAGAATTTTAATCTAACTAATTAGTTTAACTTAATTTACTCTAAAAAATATTTTCAATTACTTTTTCTTAAAATTGAAGAATAATTAGTTGTGTGATGAAATATTAAATAGTTTCTACAACCCTATCAAGGTGACACAGAGTATAGTTAATCAAGCATTATGATTTAAATTTTCAACATTAATATAAAACAGGAATGAAAATTCAAAAGTAACACAAGAAATAAGACTTTATTTACAAATAGCTATACATACAATTTCAAAAATTAGCTTTCTTTTCTTGGTAACAGAATAGTTGCAGTAAATTAGAGATATAAAACTTTTGATCATTAAAGCATAACTATTTCTTCATCCATAATAAAATAAACACTTACTGGGCCTGACAAACTATTGCTATAATTATGTACAAGAATTTAATTAAAATGTAAGAGTGTTCAGTCTTACACTAATACATAATTTAAAAATTAAATTCATCATTCAAAATTAAATTAAAAATATTTCATACATTAAAATTCAAAATATCTTAACTATATTAATAATTTTTGCAGACTTTTTGGAGGAAAATTTTTTCTTTTGTAACTTATGTCATAAAAGAAAATTTTGATGTTATTAGTAATTTAGTTAATTCTACTAATAATAAAAATAATTGTATTGCACTAATAATGTAGCTAGTGTAGTAAATAAAAACGTCATTTCTAGATTTATTTAGATGCTGAATTTATTACAATGCACAAATGCCACATGCAGCTACACTGTACCAAACCTAAGTTAAAAATACTTAGAAAATCGCTTAACATGATGTAACAAAATTGCATGGTGCTGCATACTAGATTTGAGACTAAAACAAAAGGATAATGAAAATAATATAGAAGATGTTCACTTCAGTACCTCAAGGTTTTAGAAATAGTATTTACCTAAAACAAAATCCTCATGGAGCCCAATAGCAGAAAACTCTGTATTGATCTGCAACATCATGGAAAGATTCTAGAAATTTATCCTCAGAGTGTATGTATTGAAATAGACAAATATTGCACTTCATGGGTTAATACATTTTGCAATGCAAGAATGTCTTACAATAGGAAAATAGCTGCACTACTGCTAAAAAAAAATCTAATTAATAGAAATGTTTTTAGTTTAAAATTTACAACTGAAAAAAAAAATCTTTTACAGTAAAATTGATTCTTGATTTCAATAATTTTTACTTTATTGAAATAAATCAACACTAAAAACAAAAGTTTTTCAATAAATGAATAAATCCAAAGTAAACTAATTAATGTATAAAATGTTCTTAAGCTTGAGATGTTAAAAGTTTACAAAAAATGAAACAATTCTATGTTTCAAACGATGTTCTAAAAATTAAAACAGGACACAGGAAATCTTTTGAATCTCATACTCTTAAAAGTTGCCAAAATTGCATCTCACCCTTACAAATTTTTCGTAAAAACCAGCTATAGCACGAACTCTGCAAGATGGGTAGAAAAAAGAACTCTACATAAGAACATGCTCTTTTTAGTTTAATTTAATTTTTCAGCAAGCAAAAAAATTAAAGGTTCGTTTATTTTGTCTACAAGACCAAAATAAATTTGTAGTGCATTTGTGTCTGCTACTGGGCTCAGAAATAGTTACAAAAAACAAACAGTTAAAACATTGAGTAAAAAAATGCACTGGAAAATTGAGCAAGCAAAATAGGAACATAGTGAAAATCAATGATAAAACAAATGTGGCCATTAACCATCTAAGCAAAACATAACTTCTCTATCTAAATGAACTTAGTCTTATAAATACATTTTCTTTTCTTCCAAATATATCAATTTCAGCCAACACACTTAGTTATATTGTCAATAATTTATTTATAAATATAAAATTTTCAAGTTTATTGCAAATTTAAAATTAATATTCAAATTTTCAAAATAGAAATATGAATTTTGTCACATCTCATAATAATAAATGTATCTTAACATTTTTCATTATTATTACAGGGATGGAACAATCTAACCAATTTGGAGCAAGTTAATTTGATTTTTGGGGCCGATTAGAGCAAATATTTTTTATATATAGAGCAGCAAAGCACTTCTAAAATTAAAATCTTATGCAGATTTGAACATATAAATTTTCATTTCATTACATAGTTAACAAATTTTGAAAGAAAATGCATTAATAAATAGAAAGGATATAATAAAAACGCAACAATGAACTACATAAATAAAGATCCTGAAAAAAAAAAATTTCTTCCTTATGTGCTCAATTTGCAGAGATACTATTATTAATCCATATTTATTTATTTTTTCAACTCCTTAAACATAGTTTTTCCAATTTTGATATTTTTAATAAAATGTGATAACTGATTTTTGCACACAAATTCAGCATTAAATTGGGCCAAAGTTGCACTTTTCCCTCAATAAAAATGTTTTTTTTTTATGGGGGGGGGGGGGGNGGGGGGGGGAGAGATTGGAACAGAAATTTCATTATGAAACAATTTGGTGCAATTAGTGCAGCTGCTCTAACCCGTCATTATACTAATTAAATATAAGCATAACAACATAACTATAATGATAGAAATAACAATTAAATAATAAAACAATGAAATAATTCTTGAGTATTGTAATTGAATCATTGAACAATTCTTTTAACAAATTCAACTTGAGTCATTTTGTTAGTTTTCAAAGCAATTTTTTCATTTTCATTATGCCTTAATTTGAAAACAACTTTTCGTACAGTCTTTCTATAATTTTTGGATATCAAACGCTTGGTGATATGAAAAATTTCTTTTTCCAATTTATCAGCAATTTTTTCATCATCCTAAAATTAAAAATAATACTAATTAATAATAATTTGACAATGAATATAAACATGATGAAAAAATAGTATGGATTCTAAAAGCAGAATTAACTGAATCAATCTGCAGCACAATCTTCATAAATTCAAACTTGTCTGATTCCAGCACAGTCAATTAAAGACTATTAATATAATAATTGGGCTCAATCTAACAGGAATAAAACAAAATTTGAACATGAAAGAAAAATTATAGTTCTACACAAAAAATTTATGTTTTTTTTTTCCCTTTAATTTATATAACTTAAATTATGATTGTATACATCTGATACAGCATGAACCCAAGCAACAGAAAAGTATGAAGATTAATGAAAAATAACTTAATATTTTTTAAAATTTTATTAAATTCCAGTTAGTTCAATAAAATGATTTTGAATATTTGAACACCAATTCCCTTTAGCTAAATATCTGTAGACTACTTTTTTTAGTTTCAAATTTCAAAACATTTTTTGATAGTTCTGAAATCAATTAAATAGCCAAATTTTTTAACAAAAAAAAGGCACTTTAAAAAATATAATTTAGATATGCACACTATAAAAACGTTTTCTTCCTATTGTTGAAAATTCTTCTATCAACAAAATGCAAAAGCATTTTAAAAGACTTTAGATGATCCTGATAGAATAACTAGTTTCTGATTTAGAACTTTTTCCTTGATTATATTAGCTACTATAATAACAATTTATGCACTATTTTAAATAGATTCTATATTGAGTAGCTCATTCTATTTTTAAAATGAATAATTACTTTATTCTATTAAGTAAAAAAAAAAACTATATTTTAATTCAAAAGTTATCAGGTGTATTTCTCAGATTTAAATAGTTATTCATAAAAGTATATTCAACTTAACAAGATTAATATTATTAATCATACTGAATTTATAAAGAAATGAAAAGACTTAGATGCAAACTAAGATTACAAATTTAGCGAGTGGCCCATATTAAACTTTTATCAAAATTCGTTTTTGGTTCAATATTTCTTTAATGAAACAATTGAAAAAATTTTCAATAATTTTAAAATGTAAGTATACAATGAATATTGAAGCAAAACATTTTTGTGAGAAGTAAATTATTATACGGTTTCATAATATTTAACAAATAAGAGATTATAGAATTTTCTATTTTTGTTTTTAAATTAATTCAATTCAATTGCGAAAATTAAACTTTTTTTGGAATGATAGATCTGAATAACATAAGATTTTTTACTGCATTTGCTAAATGTTAAAATAGCGAAAAGTTTCTTACTTCATACTTTTTTTAAAATCTTGCCCCCAAATATTAAATTTTTAGAAAATAAATTAAGAGCACTGAAAATTTTAAAAGTAATAATAGTACAATAATAAAAGTAATAAGTAAAAAAATAATAAAGTAAAAAAAAAGTTTTAAAAAAATATGCAATTAGTGGACGGTCCTTCGGGTAAAAAAATAGATTGTTGAATGCTCTGGACCCACATGAAAAATGTAATTAGTGAATAATCCTGAAATCAAGTTCAAGGACTATGGTACAGAGCTATAAACAAAACAGCTTGAGAATAACATTGGCTTGTCAGTAACAAAGACAATGACGATTCACCAGCGATGAAATTAACAAGAGAAATAAAATTTTCTTTTGCTATAGGGAAAAACATGAGACAATGTTTAGTTGTTCCTTATGATCAGCAAAAATTTAAGATTCTTCATCTCAATTTCAGAGAGTGGAAAATGAAGCCTGAAATCTTAAATATCTTGCAAAATGCAGCAAAGCTGCACACGTAAATGCGTGACTCCTTTCGACAGAATCCAGTTCAGTGTATGCACATGCGGACCCGCAAGATATAAAATTACTTCGTCCTAATGAAAAAAGCACCTTTAAGGGCTTTTAAAAAATCAAAAATAAGCACCTTTAAGCCTTTTTTAAAAACACTATGCACCCTGTCATAGCACTTTCAAAAAGAATTTTAAAAAAATAATCTGATCTGCTATTCTTACAGCAATTTTTTTTTGTGTCAGATTCCAAAAGAGAAAAATTCTCCCGTATCTTTTATCGGAAGGAAAAAAAAATTCTTTTCCTTCATTTTTTCTTATTTGATGAAAATCTTATTTCTTATTTGTTTTCAATTTTTTAATCTTTTCCTTCACTTTCCCGAATTTGAGAGGAAAAATAATTTGCAAATGCAATAAGCTGCCGAGCTGAAAATTTTAAGTTACCTGGTGAATGATTATACTACAAAACATTAAAATCAATAAAAAAAGGTATTATTTCTTTTCAACTGTTAAGAAAATAATGTCGTAAAGAACACTTAATAGTAAACATATAGTGCCCAACAACTGTTTAGATTTTTAAGCAGCTATCCCAATATATCTAGCAATGTATTTTCACTTATAAACGAATCAAAGAAATATTATTATTTCCAAAGAACAGATAAAATCAAACACAATTTCATAGATTAAGCATAAAATAAAGAATTAAAACTAAACAATAGTAAAATAGATTAGGAATAACAGGGTGGCCATGGCTACTCTAATCAAGTTTCTAATTTTCTTGATTTTTCCAGTCAAGAATCTTAAAATTTCCAGGACAGAGTGTTTTTTTTTTTTTTTTTTTTTTCATAAAGTGTAGGATGGGTACAAGAAAGTGTCAATATTTTAAAGTATTTTATTTAAAATGTTATTTTTGTAATATATCATGTTGAAAAAATAATTAAATTTATTTTAACAATTTAGCAATTTATTTTCTAAACTTTTAATGTTTCGGTACAGCATTAATATTTTAAAAATTAAGATAGATGTAGAGAAAAAATATGTTTAGCTTATAGAATATATTGTTTTTATTGAATAAACAATGTTTTAATGTGTTACTTTAGTAGTTTTTGTACCAAATGGTAAATACAGAGTGGCCCAAAAAGCCTTGGAAAAGTACTGTATAATATATTTTCATGAAACAAAGGAAAATAATTCTGATTATACATCAATAAATTTTTATATTTATTTACCTTTCAACATAGAGCCATTTTATACTGTATTTTATCTAAAAAGAGTTTTTTTTAAAAATTTATTGATCATATTTTCTTTAAACCAATATTTAAAGTCAAATATTTAAATAATGTTGTTTCGTTTGAATGCTTCAACATTATTATTTTAAGAGATAGATATTCAGTATTCAAAGAGGAATGTAGCAAAAACAAAGTTCTTAAATTTCTTGTTGCATATTCTATAGAAAAAAACTAGATAAAATTCTTTAAATTTTAGTAATTTTCGATTTTTTTTTTCTTATTTGAAATTAAAATAATTATAGAATTCCAATCTAACTACATGGTTTCTTAGTTAAGATGAGTTAATTGCTTTTGCTTTTACAAACTAGAAAACTGTATCTGTACAGTGCATAGCATAAAAAAGAAGAGCAAAGTTTCATAAGCCTCCTTCCTAATAAACACATATGAATAAAAAAAAAATTATAAGAGTTTCTGAAATATCATCTCTGGAATGCAAGCAACATTTATAAACTTTCGACATAGTGAGAACTACAAAATTCGAATTTTGACTGAAAAATTAAAATATTTATTAATAAAATAGTAAAACTAAATGTTAAGATAAGGTTGGTTCTTAAAAGAACCTTTTGTTTTAAAAATAAAATATGCTACAAAAGGTTAAAATGAAATCAACAAAATTAGCGCCAATGCAACAATTGTAACAATTTGTCACAAACAAGGCTGTTAACGTTTGTAAGAAAATGAATTATTGATTGGATTTGCTGTGAACAAATAATCCATAGATTTCATTGGATGGGAGTGCAAAAGCTTTCAGAAAAAGTGTACAATATAAAATCAATTATTAAATTATAAACAACCAATTTTTGAAGAATTTTATAAAGTTAAAAATATTAAAACATTTTGAATCACTTTGCCAAAAAAATAAATAAATAACCCCAAAGCATAGGAAAAAACCTGAACGATAAATGGAATCAGCCAATGGACTAGGGAAAAAAAAAACTACTTTTATAAACAGAAGCAAATATTCTAACCCATTCTTTCACCTCCATCACAATTTTAGCCTTTCCTAAGCGCATAGACTCTAAAGAGGTCAAATGTTTCTCCATTCATTTAGCGACCATGAGAGAGTTCCAAGTGACAGTCTAGTTTAAAAGGGTTATATTTGATTTGATTTGTTCATTTACGTCGCACTAGAGCTGCACAATGGGCTATAATGGAGCAATTTTTAATGCAAGTAAAATATTGCTAAGTTGATATTTTCAACTTTTTAGCGAGAAATTTCTGTCAAACAAAAGTGGGTATAACAAAAGGTAAAATAATTTAAATTAAGAAAAAAATTCCAGCTTTTCTCTAAAAATTCCTGATTGACTTTTATACAAATTTCCCCGACTTTTCCAGATTATTAAATAGATTCAAAAATAATAAAAAAACTACAATATATAATTGTCTAGAAAACATACATTTTCTTTACTACATTTGATGCAAGATAAATAATTTACAAGCAAATAACATTTTTTTGTAATAATTTAAACATTTTAAGGCAAGGGAAATTTCTCCTAAATTTAAGTTAAATGGCAAAACAAGTCAAATTTCCTTGTAAAAATTATAAAAACTTATTTATAAACTAAGTATACCATCGATAAAGATTGAACTCAAAGCAAAAATAAACTAAATAGTATGTAAATAGTGTTAATAATATAAATCTTCGCCTAATTTCTAATTTATTTATTTATATTTTTTGAAGAAAAAAAAAGTTTTAAAATATATTACTTGAATACTTCATTTTAATGCACAAAGTAGAAGAATTGGTCAACCTGAAAATAGGGTATTAAAATCATAACTTACTTCTTGGCCACCTAAAGCTTCAGTAAAAAGTCTTAATGCATTTCTTCTTATATGCCGAGTTAAATTATCATATCGAACTTCGACTGTTGGTTGAACTTTAGCATTTCCTTCAAGTTCCCAATATTCACATAAATTTTTGGCCTCTTGAGCAATATCTTTATCACAGTGATTCTTCAAGATTTTTAAACTTGGTTCTGTAGAACAAAAAGAACATTTCAATATTTGAAAACTCATACTTGTACAAGAACATTACAAATGAAACTTTCTTTAAATTTATTATGTAACATTTAAAAAAATGAATTTACATCATGCTAGATTGAACAAAATTATAATTTAAACAATCAATCCTATCATTGATAGTGTGAGATACATTAGAAATGCAAACAAGTTATGGTAGTTACGTTTAAAAATTATTCATCTCAAAGAATTTTATAAAACAGTGCATAGTATAATCATTGAAACAATAAAATATCGCAATAATAATAAGTCGTTTAAACACTCTAAATTATTTTAAAAATTAAACCAAAACCTGCATAAAAATAAGAAACTGATTTTTTTTTTTTTTTTTTTTAAAGGAGGGGGAGAACCTGAGAAGTTTATATGAGAAATATATCTCTTCCCTCTTTTCAGATAGGAAAAATTGTCAGCAAAATGTTTTCTAAACAGCAATTCTGATTATGTTTTTATTAAAATATTAAAACAACGTTTGCAACAAGAGAGACAAGTTTATTAAAACAAAATAAATAAAATCGCAAAATAAATAAAATCATAGTTATTGTTATTCAAGTTCAACATGTTCAAGAATTTATAAAAACTAAAACTTAAATTTTAAGTTAAATTTAAAATCAAGATTTGAAAACAAAGTTGTATTGACCCAGTGTTTTCATCATAGAAAAAAAATGGGTGAGCATTTCTCACCCTTTCTCAAAAACAGGGTGAGATTTCAGAAAGTTAAGTGAGATTTCAGAAAGTTAAGTGAGATTTCTAAAAACTAAAAAAGCACAGATAGACTTGAAAAAAAAATCATTTCTTTTATTATAATACATTTTTAACGTCTTCTATTTTTTAAAGCATTGAATATTCTTGCTGCATCATCATAGAAGATTTTGCCTTTACTAGGTATTTGTCCATCTTACATTAGTGCATAAAAAATTTGAACGTCTTACATGAAAAAACCTTACCTACGGTAAACACGTGGTTGCAGAGAAATGTGTTCTGAAAGGGGTTCCGTGGTTCGGAGGGGTTGTGTTCTGTTGTTCGAAAAAGTTCTGAACAATACTGGTAAATAGGGAAGCTAGATAACGGGGCAAATGTTGAAAATAATGAAAGATCCAGGAAGAAAAGTGAAACAGATTTTATTCTAAATAGCGTAATTCAAAGCTCCGTCCAAAATGCGAGAAATTCGCGAATTTTGAAATTGATTTATAGAATGCGCGAATTTCTCGCAGTAATAATTTTTTAATGCGAGAAAAGAAAAAAATATGCGAGATTCTCGCGCTGTAGTGAAAACACTGATTGACCAGTCATTGCTAGGATTCAAACCTAGGTCACCTCATTGGGAGGCAAGCACTATAACCTCCAAGTCAGAATGGCTTTTGAAGCAGCATTTATCATAAAGAAAACCATAGAAATCATAAAAGAACATTAAATAGAATTAAATATTCAAGAGAAAGAAAAACAGATTCAAACCTATGCCAATTTTTTCAAGAACTTCTTTAGAAGGTTTTTTCTTTTTTAGGTAACTCAAAGTTGATAAAACAACTTCTTTTGATTCAACAGCATTTTCAAGCACATTTTTATGTCTCAAAAAATCTTCCACAACTACCACACCCTACAAAAAAAAAATGAAGAAGTGACTTATTTAAGAAACATAAAAGAGGAATAAAAATATATAATAATTATAACGTATACTAATAATTATATAATATATAATAATTATAAGTAAATATATGTCATAAAAATAAGATACAATTTATTCTAAAATTTGCACAGTTAAGTAAATTGATTTTTCTTTTATAAGAATAACATAGAAGTATAATTTTTGAATATTCTGGTAAACAAGAATGCAAAATTTAGAAGGAGTTTTTTATTTGAAAATGGTGTGAAAATTCATCTTAACTTTGTGTGTATACGAGGGTCTGTCTAGGTTTTTCTGAGAGGTACATATTTTGTGAAAATTTAGACATAATTTGTGAAAATTGAAAATTATATTAAAAAATCAACACAAAATATGGATTTCTCGTTTCACATGGGATACAAAAATAAAATTTAAAAAAAAAGTATTTTGTGAAACTACCATTTTTCCTAGAGTTAAATTTGTAAAGGTATTGCTAAACGGTAGTAAATTTGGCATGTACAGACCCCTGGTATATATACAGAATTAATTTTGTTCGTAAACAAAATACATGATTTTTATGATCAGTAAAAAATTCTTTGACTGAAAATTAAAGAAAAATAATAAAATTAATGAGCAATAAAAGAAAATACCGACCTTTAGAGAAGATAAAGTTGCTTGCTTTAATTTTGCCATTGTTGGTAAGATTTAATAGGAATATTTTCATAAACCACAAAATAAATTACCATACTAGAAACAGAAAAAAAAAATTTCAATTAAATCTGTGAAGAATAAAACACAGCATGCAAGAAAACATTTTATTTTAAATCAGATTGTAGGTGATGTTAGAGGAAACCTTTAAGATACAAAAGAAAAAACAAATATGCACCAAACTTTTCATTTCTGCTAAGAGTTGCGTTCGTTTATACGTTTTAGAAAGAAGTAAGATTTCATTTAGAGGGGCTGTAAGCTAAATCCTAGCATAAGTAATGCCGTACATTTAGAGAGAAGCTGTAGGTAAGCCTAATCGGTATAGGTGGAACTGAAAAATCGTGAATGGCTGATTAAATATCCGGTTGGAATCGACCTTAACAATTAACTTTGTCATATTTTAAAAATAAAGATAAAAAAAATCACAAATAAATTAGGCATTTAAAATAAAAATTGCAAATTTATATAGCATTTCTAGAATATATTTACAATTGGAATTTAATAAGTTTGATTTACCATTTATTAAAATTTTGTTACTCGAATGAATGAGAATGTATTAAATGAAATGAGACAATATGACACAGGTTTATAAGAATTTGCCTAAAACGATCATTACTACTACCTGCTTTTGGGAAATTACAATTACTTATGAGAGAGTAAACCCAGTTCCACCAAAAAAAAAATTACAAATAATCATGAAATCCATAAAATTGGCTGTAAAATTTCTATTGAACTTTCTTTTGCGAAGTTCACAAAGTGTAGAGGGAAAGAAGGGTTTGGTTAACGTCATTCTCATGAGTTACTTTATTGATTGAAGTTCAAGGTCAAATTATCATCGCTTCATTCATTACCTTTTTTTTTTTAACTTGGATCGTCCTAGTTTTAATTAGATTTTTTCAAAAATATATCACTAATTAAAAACTTATTGATTTATTAAGTAATTTGAAATATGTTCCCATTCCCGATTTTGAACTTCAGCGATTCTTATTACTTTTTATTAAAATTAATGAATCAATAGTTAAGAACTGTTAAATTTCAGCAATTTGGGTAAATTTTGCACTAAATCATTTGAAAATAATAGTTTTCCCCCCTCCTTTTCATTTGTACTTCAGAGATTTGATTAGGAAAAATGTTCCATTTCAACTGAAATGTTTAAATTGAGTTAATTTTATTTCATTGAACGTTTGCCATTTGGATGTATTTTGAGTTTCAAGTGAAGAAACATTATGTCAGAACTGTTTCCTTCACTTTTTTTCACATTTCTAATTTGGATGTATTTTCCATTTTAACTGAATTATTATAATAGAAATGAGTTTTTTTTCTCTCCACCCTACAACTTCCACTAATTGGATATATTTTCCATTTTAACTGAATTAATTGTTTAGAAAAACTTTTTTTTCTTTTTAGTAATCTGGGTGCAATTGGAGTTTTAACTGAATTCTGAAATTACTATTAGGTTTCCTTTCCATTTTTTATTTTAATTGTGTCTCTCAGTGATTTGGACTTTCATTAAATTATTTAATTGCTTAGAGCACCCTTTTCCACCATTTTAATGAATATTGCATATTATCTAAATTATTAAGACCTGTTTTTTTTCTTCCCCGTTCCAATTTTGTAGCTCGCGTGTTGGATATATTTTGCATGTTAACAGGATTATTAGTTTAGAATTTTTTCATTTTTATTTACATACTTCAGTGATAGGAGGTCCTAATAATGTTTCACAGAATAAGCTGAAATCACGATTTAGAAACATTGATAGTAATAAATTGTATTCAGACTGCACATTTGCAAGAAGGAATAATGTGAAATATTTGAAAAGCTGAGAGAGTAAATGTAGCATGCTTTCACTATATTAAAATATAACTTATCGTTATTCAGGGTTCCCACTCTTTAAACAAAGGAAAAATTAAGGAGTTTTTTCTTTTTTAGAAAAACTAAGGACCTTTCTTTTTTAGAAAATATTATGATTGTTAGAAAATATTATGATCATCGAATATACCACCAGTGTCAGTGCCAATTATTTATCTTTCTTAAACAAAATCAATAAATAAAAAATAATTATAAAAAACAATTTTGTTATAACGTATATACTGATATAATTGAATTATTTAACAAGGTTCGCCGAAGTAGGAGCAGTCAATTTTTGCAAACCTGGGTTGTTGTTTTTTTTTAAATATTGTCAGGTTGTTAAATGGTTTCTAAAATTAAGACTTGCAATTTTTTTTTCATACATTAAAAAAAAAAAAGAGTAAATACAGAAATTTGGGAAAAAACATCGAAAAAATTAATAAAACAAAATTTTATATTTCGCTGCTAGACATGCCTCACATATTCAGTTGTGGGCCAATCACTCTAAATATTCAGTTATGCCAGAAAGAAAACTCTCTAAAATGCTCTACCCTCAATGCATGGTTTCATTCAAGTGATAAAATAATGACTTTTTTAAAAAATATTTTTGTAAGACACCTATCAAGTACAGCCATACTAAAAATTAAGGACTTCTAAAAACCTTGTACAAAAATTATGTACTTTTAAGAGCCCTTATTTTCCAAAATAAAAATTAAGCAGTTTTTAAGCACTTTTAAGGAACCCATTGCTTACAATTTTTTTATTTTAAATTAGATAAACGAAATAGGAACAACAACAAACAACGAAACGAATAGGAATTAACAACATCCTAATAAAAAATAGACATAGAATATCTCCTTCTGATGATGAGGCAAAAATATTTAATGTATTAAAAAACAGAAGATAACAAAAAATTTTTGTATTAAGGAAATAATTTTTTTAAAGCCAATTCATGTTCTATAAAAATTTTTAAAAATCTCACACTGCCTATGGGAAAGTCTCCCTCATTTTTTTTTCAGTGATGCAAACCCTGTTAAAAATAGGTCAGGTTTATAATTAATTCATTTGTTATTTAAGTATCGAAAAGCAGCAACAGCAAAAACTAATGTGACCCCTAAAAAACTTGCAAGTAGTCTTATTTAAAATGTCTTAAATATTTTCAGATTACCTTCCACGCTTGTTTTCTTCTACAAAAACTGACGTCTCAATAAAACAGCCTCCTTATACATTTGTAAATCAATCCCGTCAACGTTTCTAACAGTTCTAGCCCTCAAAATATTGCCTGTGATTTGCCCAGCTATTTGATAGAAAGAATCTACATGTAAAGGAATTTCACGACAGTTTTTAAAATCTACATGTAAAATATGGGTTTTGCTATCCGTATCAACGAGTTCACCACGAGCAGTAACAGGAGAGTAATTTCTTAATTTTCCAACTACTCTGATAAGATGAAAGCAGGATTGAATATTGTTAAATGAACGAGTTTTTGACAGAATTTCACTTATAAAACAAATTTGGTGAAATTCTCCACAAGACATTCTTTGAAACCTTTGTTTTTATTTATACAACTCTCATTTTGAGATTAGAAAATAAAATAGCGGGAGAACGAAGTGGTAACCATTTCTACCCTACTTATGACTCTGGTGATTAAGAATAATTTGGCTAAGGACTATTCTCACTACAGCTCGTTCACCAGGAGTTGGCATTTGGCTCCGCCTTCATCACGTAGTAGGAACAAGGTTGCTATTTGGCGATCGTATGGCAAAAATATTTATTGCGCAAATTTTATCTGCATTTTTTTAACATCAATTATTTCATAAATTTGATGATATTTTGCGCCATTTTTTAGGATATTTATTTCTTTTGAGTGAATAGTTTATTCCTTTTGAGACATTTTGTTAGGAAAACGGCAGTTTTTAAATTTAAAATACATTTAATTAGCTAAAGAAACGAAAGTTTGTTACTTTTCCATTATACCGGCCCAGTCGAGAAAGTCGCTAATAATGATGTAACGAACGCCAAACGGAATATCGCTTCTGGTAACCTTCTGCTTCCGTATTTTTAAAACAAATCGCAGCCACTTTTTTTCTATCAGTCACGTCTTTTTCTTAATGCGAAAAATTAAAGCAAAAAGCAATGAGAATTTGGGATTTGCCCAAAACGGAGGAAGAAGCAGTCAGATTCTTTCAAGAGAAAGGGGATTTGCCTGAAATCGTAACTTGTGATAAGAATCATGAAATGAAGTTGTATACTGGAGATGAAATTCAATGGCGATGCAACTTTTCATCTTGTCGCTGTAAAAGAAGTGTTCGTAAAGGCACATGGTTTCAATCATCGAAATTGAGCTTTTTGAAATGTGTGAGGTTTATTTATTGTTGGTGCGAAGAATTAACTTCAGTTAAATGGTGTGAAAAGCAGTTGGAAATCAGNCTCCTTTATACCTTTAAAATATACCTTGTTTATACCTCATTTATACCTCGATTTTTTCATAAGGGATGGATCTTCGGTGGAGTTTGCCGGGAAACGAACGAATGTTTCCTTGTGGAGGTGCCAAATCGATCCATGAACACTTTATTGAAGGCAATTAAGGAAAATATCGAAAAACAAGCGATAATATATCCCGATTCATGGAAATCATACAGCACTAGTAAGCTGGAAGATGATCATCTTCCAGCCGGAAACTGGAACGCACGCTCAAAAAATAGAGAGACTGTGAGACAGAGCTAAATGGCGAAATAAGAAACAAAGAGGAGCGGCACGCCATCATCTCGAAAGTTATCTTGCAGAATTCGTATGAAGAAGGCAAACAGAGGACCTATTTGAAAAGAAATTAAGCGATATTAAAATGTTTATGCCTCCGAAATAAAAAAATTTTTGAGCCATTTATTAACATTATTATTATTATTTATTATGTGACCAATAAAATCTGCTTCGTGTGATATGTTTCGGCGACTGTGTGCCGGCGCAAACTCGTCATAAAGTCTGCTTGGTGAAATATGCTCGGCATAATGGAAAAGTACCGAAAGATTTAATAGCAGATGATAAAGCGAAGTAAGTGACTGAAAAAGAAGTCACTGTTTGTGTTTGGCTCACATTAAGGGTTGTCTCAATTTCAAGCACGGAGATGTTTCTCTTCTTACCGAGCTGAAATGAACTCTTCGTCCGAGGAGGTGGAGCCAAGTGCTAACTCCAAGGGAACTAACTATAGTTCTCCAAGTGAGAATCTGATTGGAAAGAGTTTTGGTGAGCATTCCCATTGAATGCGCTTTACGTTAAAGATTTGCAGCAGATTGGTATAAAATATTTTTTCCAGAAAATCTCACCAATCAGATTCTTGTTTTCTTGTGACTTTCACGAAAAATTGTATTTAGTGAGAATGGCCTAAAAATATGGTTGCCGAGATCTTTGGAGATGCTAAGAGATCGCCAAGTCAACTACAAGCTTCACGGCAAATCCTTACGTGAAATTGGGAGAGTAAATTTGGAAACGTTGACAGCTACGCTTGAACTTCAGACAGCATCATTTTGCATGCGAACAAAAGTGAATAGGTAAATTTTAAAGCGAATAAGAAAATTACGAAAACATTTTTACATTGTTACTTATTTATAATTCTGTTCATTACAATAAAATGTTACTGATAAGCTTTTCATTATTTAATAAATCAACTTATACTTTTAGAAATTCAAATTTCACTTCAATCGGCTTGTTAGGTTGTTATAAATATCGATTTTCGTATGTAAGATAACCTTTAAGAAACATATTTGTGTAAGCTGTAGCGGTTATTGGCAATTAATCGAGAGAAAAAAACATCAGTGTACGATATATTTGGTAGTAGCAATTAACCTTAAAAAAACATCAGTATGGAGATCAGTATACGATAAATCAGTTGATGAAATCCATTGATTAAACCGATTATTAATTATAACCATATTCCCCGCACTAATATTTTCCTAAATCTTTTGTAAGAAAAAAGTACAAAATGAGCAACAAAAAATTAGCTTAACTGTAAATCTTATCCCAACAATAATATATATATATATACACATATATATACACCGAAGAGCCTTTACATTATGACCACCCTGCTAATAATATGTAGGAGCACTTTTAGCCCTCAAAACTGCTAGCATCCGTCGCGGCATTGAGTCCACAAGGTGCTGATAGGTAGTCTGAGGTATCTGGTATCAAGCGCTCACCAACTGCCCATACAGCAAATTTCGTCCTAAAGACATCCCAAAACATTCCGAACACTCCTGGAACAGTCATATCCGTAAAGTGTCAGAAGAAAGAATTTCGTAGGATGTCACAAATAGACAGCAATATGACAGGCCTTTCAAAGGAGTGTTTTAGGAGTCTTGTAGGATCATCGTTCAGCGCATGCGTGTTAACTTCAACTTTGCCGTTAATGTTATTTCTTTTATCCAGTGACAAGAGCAATTCTGCTAGTGAAATCTAAACAATAAGGTATTTATAAGCTCAAATATCTTATTAGTTTCTTTTTTGTTTATCTTTTTTTTTTTTATAATCTATTTATATATTTGATTTATAAGTGTACTTGAACCCCGTCATTATCTTTAATATCTCATTTGCAATGTTTACATACATTACTAAATGTTTAAATGCGTGGTTTATTTAATTTTTCATAATTATTGAGGAAGTTTTACTTTTATTATTTCGTGAGGCAAATTTTTATCGGGGATATTATCATAACTACGGCAAGTTGGCGGAGAGTCACCGAAGAAGGAAGATAACGTTTCAGTCGGAGGAAACCAGTTTTCATATGCGCTTGTCATTTGCGCATCTTTCCACTCATTGGCTCCAATCTCCTGACTACTCCTTGAAACTTATCAGCTAAAATATGTCAGTTATAAAGTAACCGGTTCCGATTCCCCGTTCTTTAATAACGTGTACAAAATCTAGGTTCTTGAATAACGTGTGCGAAGTAACGGTGTAATGAAATTACTTCAATAGTTTGCAATTTCAGAAACTAATTTTATTTTATACGAGTCAAAAAGTGCAAATGTTTATAGTGTCACTAAAAATGATAAAAAATATAAAATGATATAAATACAAGAAATTTTTCACAAAAAATTTACATTTTTACACAAATAATAATAAATTATTGGTAACTTAGGAAATTGGTCTAAGAAAGCAATCCATAGATTTAAAATAATTTAAACTTTGAAAGTTACAGATGACTATTTTGATTCAACGAAGTAATATATAGAAGTTATTGTACATAATTTTAATTACTTAATAGATACTTATAAAATTAGTTGAAGTGCTATGACGCAACAGTTTCTTAGTCTTTCTTTTGAATCAGATTTTAATTACCTGCAATTCATTATTTATGAAATGACAGTGTATTTATATACTAAGGCAATAGAACTTTTACCAATATATTTGCTCTTTAATATTTATGCTATTTTTAACGAAATTTACTTAATCAATCATGATTATATCTTTAAAGAAACTTAAGTCGAATTGTTGAGATGCAATATCAGTTAACTGTCGGTAATATCGACTTTCATTTCACTTAACATTTATTTAAATTATTAAAAACATTTGTATTCTCGTAAAAATTTTGTTTCTGTGCATATTACTAATATGAGTCACATTGCCTAGATTTCAAGAATAAACTCCTAATTTAATAAATAAATAAAAAGTATAATCGTAAATGGCATAAAAAGAAACGGTTCTTCTTGCTACAGTTCTATTCAGCAATATAGATGTTGTTGAAAATTAAATCAAATCAAATCGGAAATAATTTTTTTTTTTTTTTAACGAAGTTATGTCTGCGAGATTGGAAAAATAAAATTGTTTTGAGAAAACACCGAAGCCTATCAATGCTATGCATCAGATCAATGTAAAAGTACTTGTATTTCTAATTTAACTGAGGCTTCTCTGCACTGCAAACTACTATGCTGTTTGACAAATATTTTCTAGAGTGATATACAATTAAAAGCTAAAAACTGTAAAATTCTTGGTATCTTGCCAACATTTTAATATTATCACAATAAGAGGTACAAAGAAAAGTTTCATTTGAACTTTTTAATCATTTACATGGTGTGGAAAAAATCCTTAAATCAAATTTTCACAAAACAAATAATTATACCAATATGCGACTATATAAAAATAATTTTAAAACTTGGCTACCACGGGAAGAAATTTTCCCCTAAAAAGTAGAAAATTAGTATTTCTGAATTCACTGTCTTACATCTATAAAATATAACTTCATAAAAGAATTTAAATTTCACCTAAGAGTTTCAAATAAAATTAACTATGAATGATTTACTTAAACTTATTAATTAACCTCACAAATATAATCCCCAATATCATAATATTTAATTTTTATCCTACATCAAACTTGTGGAAAAATTCCCAGAATAATTATATTTATTTCAATGAATATTTTTAATATTATTTTTAAGGAAAGTAAAAGTTGCATTTAATAAAAAATTAATAATAAATAAAATAAGTCAAGTACATAGAGTCGTATGTTACAAATCATCAAAATTTCCAAAACATCAATATTGTTTTAAATGTCATCAGAAAGTCAATATTGTGACTAGCGTTATTTCTGCATAAAATACCAGAAAAGATTATCTCTTACATTTTTGGACAAAAGTTATTTTTGAAACATCTTGTAGCATTAAAGAAATTTTA